AACATTTATAAATTGTGTCTTTTCTGAATTTGAATAAATTGTTCTCTTCTCTCTCTTTTCCTAGATTTTTGATCTCTAAAATTCAATTTGAGTAATATTAAAATATAAATACTGCTTTATCCTTTGCTCTGACTAAAGTATATATATTTATATATAAATGGAAAAAACAAATTGAGTCTTTGACACAAATTCTGATTGTGCAATCCAATGTAATAGACCTTTTGATATTTCAAATTAGGATTTCTTTTAGATTAAATAAAGTTTGAAATATCAAAGGTGTATACCATCAGGTTGCAAGGATTTATTAGAAATTTTAATTTGTACCAAAGAATCAATTTTTTAAAAATCCTTTAAGAAAAAAAATATTTAATAAAACGATATTCTTAGTATATTCGTTTTCTATATTTATCTATACTTTTCGTTATTATTATTATAATTATTATCATTATTATTNTCCAGTAATTTGTTCTTTTCTCTCTTTTTTGTTTATTTAAGTTTTAACAATGAAGGATATTCAAGTGTTTGACTTTGTCTAAAGAAGTGTTTATTTACAAAATGTGTGACGTAGAAACTTTAAATACAATTAAAAAATGTTGGCCCCCAAAATAAATAAAAATCAACAAAATTACTTCAATTGCATATTCTCCTAAATTACAACTTTCTCCTTGCTTTAACCGATCTTTTTCAAACATCGGTGAAACTTTGAATTCGATCGTTGAGAGATCAGTAAATCTGACATAATGACTCCTAAACTTATATCCTGTATCTTATACCTATTATTTAGAAGTTCCAAGCTCTCCATAATAAAAAAAAACTTTTAAATATTTTCTTTTAGAGTATGAGCACTTTGTTTGAACCAAGGAAGGAAGTTTAAAACTTGAATTAAAAGTTTAATCTCCAAGTTGCCTTGGCTCTGTACTAATCGTATACCTGGAGTTAATGTTAATATATTCCATCCTTCTCCCTATATATCCGTCTACCCAACTTCTTATGTATATATCCGTCTATAGACTTAAATAAGTAGTTGTCAGAATCTAATTAATGAGGATATAAGNGGTTTGCATAATTTATGAGTCCTTAGAGGAGAAATATGCTTCATGCATTCCTATGCAGGTTTGGAAACATAGATGTATCCAGGACGGTTATATGTATCCAGGACGGATATATGTATCCAGGACGGATATATGTAAATAATCATAATCAGTAAAAGGGACGGATATAATTCTGAACAGGAAGGATATAAACGTATTGTTTCTGTTTCCTATCGATCTATGTACACATCTATTCAGATTAACTGAAGGACTACAGAAGATACGAGTTAGTACTTTTTGATGGGATAAACTGTACAAAAGTTCCCATAAAAAGTTCCACAAACTAAAATTTTCTAATCTCTATATCTTTGCAACTTAACCTTGTAAACCTTTGATATTTTAAGCTTAGATTAGACATTAGACATTTGGTTGCAAAGACATGGAGATTGTAACTATTACTTAATTCTTTTCTCAATAAAATTTCATTTTATTCTTTATTAATAGTTTTCAAATTGTAGAATAAAAAGTCCCAATAATCATAAAATGTGTCAAGTTTACATATTTTTATGTTTATATACGTTTATAAATGCAAGGTGGGGTTTACCAGTTTATAATGATCTCAACCACGAAACCATATTTTACAAGGATGTCGGGTTTTAACATATTTCAAGGAAAATTTCAAACCTGAAATTTTCTCCCCCTTTCAACCCCCCCCCCCCACCCCATATCTCTATTTCCAACACAGATATAAGTTACATGATGTAAGTACGGGTTACGAGATTGGAATGTTTGAGGGAAGAGTACTGAGTAGGGGTTAAAGGAGAAGGTTCAAGTTTCGAAAACTAGATGGAGATCGAATATGGGACGCATAATGTAAGAAAGGCAAAGGAAAATGGAAAAAAAATCGAACGTTTTTTTTAAAAATCCGAAAGGATATGATGAGAAAGGATGGGAACAATAGAAAAGCATACAAAAGGTTGTGGTAGAATGGGAAATGTTGGGAAAGTCTAAAATTAATCAAAAAAGTATAAAAGTGAAAAAGCGATTTGGTTTGTTTAATCAGTCAATATGGCATTGAAATTTTAAGCTTTTTAGGACTAGGGCCAAATAAATAAGTGTGAGCTATTTGTGGGTCCATTAAAACAAAATACAGATTTTGATAAGATAACTAAAGAGCTTTAAAAAAAATCTTGATAGAAAAAAAGTAAAATCAAAGATTTGTATTCGAGTAGCAATAAAAGAAAATGGCGGTGGAAAATTTCCGTTTATCTCTTGAAGATTCTAATATATCTTCACAGTGACAAGGGACTAAAAGGAATCAGCAATAACCAAGGCTACATTTTCNATCTATCTCTCCTTCCTAATCATTGCTCGATTGTTATTTCTCTATTAAAAGAATACATCGTAGAAAGACGCAATTTACTTAATTTATATTTATATAGATCTATAATAGATCTATCTATCTATCTATCTATCTATCTATCTATCTATCTATCTATCTATCTATCTATCTATCTATCTATCTGGCTTCTCACTTTCCCTCTCCTTCTTGTTAAATTCTACGTGAATGTTGTGTGATCTTTTAACCTTTAGTATATTGTATTGTATTGTATGTCCCTATCTTATATCCTATCTATCCTTCATTGTATAGAAACCAGAAAATTAACGATAAGCAAGACCGGACGTAAGTGCACTGCAAACCAAGATGTGCACGATCTCACGCAAAAATTGAACAGTATTTTGTCAATTACTGATTTTAAACCTAAACTAGAAAAAAGCGTGGCATTTAAAAAGGTATATGTCTATAAATGTCTATGGCTACTTATAAGTATAAGAGAGTTTGTGAAGTAAAACCAAAGGCCAGGCAGTTGCAACACTTGTAAAGTCGTGATGACTAACTTGTTGCCTAGATATCACGATTAGTGGAACACAAAAGTGGAAAATGAAATTAAAAGGAAACACTGAGGAATAATGAAAGAGGGTGTATGCATGAAACTGATGCTTCCTGGTTTATTTACTTGCTGAGCCCGCGGTTTAAAGACTTCAGCTCAAGCCGTATTTCCTTAAACCCGACTTTAAGACCTCTTGGTTTGTTTTAGTGGAGAATAAGGCTTAATATTAAGTTTTGTTCTAATAAGAACCCAGAATTTGCCAATTCCTCTCATGAAAATCCGCCAAATAGAATATTAAACCGGTTTTTTGAACCCAATCGCAGTATGGAAAATAAGATGCTGCAGGCTGCAGCTTGAATCCGAAAGCTCAAGTCGTAAATAAGGCTCAACGAAAGCTTACACCCGAGCCGTATCTTCCCGAATTTTTTTAATCGCGGGCTCTGGTGTTTACAGTCTACACATGTTACTTAAATCTGTGTTTGTCTCTTACTGACTGCATTTGTCAATTTTCATTAAAAATAATTTTTTCATCCCCCCCACCCATCTCTTCAAACTATTTTCTACCCCAGAAGTTGGGTTTGTTTATAAGGGAAAAATAAATAAGTTTGTGAGTAAAAAGTATTAATAAGGATGAAAACTTGGCCGTTAATGTCCAATTTTTTATGTTTTCCTCCAGATCAACAAAGATTAATTTATATAATAAAGCTCTTCGTTCATTATATAAATATATGTTAGCTATAGCTGGCCAAACGGCTGGCACAATCTGGCTGAATTTTGTTGAGGGAACCTATAGGTAACACGGGTATAAATAAGGCGAAAATTCGATTTTTTTTTCAAATTTTTTTTTCAAGAGTCGAAATATTTTTTAACGTGGCACTTTCGCTTGTCATTCACAATTTTTGAAATGTTAATTTAGTGAACGAAAATCAAGGTTTAAGTTTGTATTTCAGTTCGCATTAGAAGCAACAAGGGAAAATGTATTTGGAATTACTGGTCCAGTAACTCCTAGTTTTAATTTTACACCTCTGAGTGGCCGTACTGAACACTTTTCGGGTTTAAGCACATGCGCAAGGTTATAATGCAAGGAAAGTTATTTCAGAGGTGTACGCATCTTTTGTACTGCAGTGTACTGTCTCTGGGCGGTAATGTAAACACAAGACGGATGTCGAAGCCTGACATGGGATCCATCTTTCACATAAAAATCAATGAAATATTCTGGTCATAGGAAACCATTATGCGAATTATCAAAATTATCAAAATGTAATGTTTTTATCCTCCTCGAATACTAAACGAGCACTAATGTATCTATTCTTGTTTACAAATTCCGCCCAGAGAGAATTGGTTTCAATATTTGCATAAAGTAAACGCATCTGCAATTAACTTTCCTTGCATTATAACCTTGCACATGAGTATTTTTTTTAAAGAGTTAAGTTTGAAGATGCAAGATTTTAACCACAAATGAACTTTACGTTAGTTTAATGTGGTTTGCTACCGCTAGATATCGGAAACATTTTAGGTTGTGGTCCGGTATGCCCTATATATATACAAGGAAGCAAATATATTTAAATATATTGTGCACTGGGGTTTTCAAATATATTTATTCTGTGCATCCGACCTAAAAATATAGACTTCATGGTTTCAATTAACAGACGACCTTACCCATGAACTTAGTGTGGTTTGTGCAGTAAATGGGTTAGGTGATCTGTGAGGGTAGCAGGGGGGGGTGTTTACAATGGGTTTTAGAGTATTAGGAAGGGGGAGGGGGGATATGCATGCAGAGATTAGAAAAAGAAGGATATTTCATTCATTCATAGATCAGAAAAAAGGTTTTACCCTCTAAATGTCCGGGGGGTTCTAAATACTTTACTCCAAAAATACTCTTAAACTCCGACTAACTCTATCTTTAATCTCTGAATCTAGCCTCTGCAGATTAATTACTAGTCTTAACTATTCGGATTCGCAGTCTGTATACAGCTGATATATTTGAGTCTAATAATACAGGTAGCAATAGGATCTGACCGATAATCAAATCAATACACATTTACTAAATAGAGAAAAGGTGACAAATATGACAACGATGGGTGAAACGTAGTATTGGTTGAAACGTGAATTGGGTGAAACGTTATTGGTTGAAACGTTTTGGGTGAAACGTGATTGGACGAACTGTTACCACACCATATATTACAGTGTATTTATTACAAATCTATGTAAAGACGGGGGNCGTCCATCATTCCCTAGAAAAAGGCCTTAGAGTAAGAGTATCGGATTGCAATGTATGAATATAGCCCAATTTTTCGAGGCCAGCTTATAAAACATTACTTTAATAGTTTGGGTGCAAGGGATGTTTTTTAAAAAATAACGTTTTATATTGTCACTTTTCAAGGAATAAACAAAATAACATACGAGATTGAAAAGAATGTATTTAACTTTTACTGAAATTTTGTAATTTATTAGACTTGTATTTTTAAGATTATGTTTCCATTGTGGGTTTGTAAATTAAATTTTTAAATTCTACAGGGCTAGTGAGAAAAAATGAAATATAATTGAAAGAAATATTAATTAAAACTTTTAACTTCAGAAAGTGTTTTAACCCCTTCATGGAAAGATGGCAATGTCCAATTCACAACGGTACTCTTCAAACCTTTATCTTATCAATAATGTGGAAGATTTTTTCGTTTCTCTTGGTTTAAAAGTGTTAAAATAATTAACTTTTAAAATTATAAAACTTGATATCTAATTCATTCTTGATCAGACAAGGTTTTAATTGTACTCTTGTCAATCAGGCTTTAGAAATTATGCTTTTAATCTCTTTAAGCTCTGGAGAAAAAAATTGTATTGTATGTAATAAAAGTTTGTATTAGTATCGTTCGATTTAAAGTTTGTATCTTTTGTATATAAATATATTGTAAGAAAAACCGACGCGTCGAATATTTGAGAAACTCAGTGCATTGCTTTATTGATTTTTATTCATATACTATAATATAACAGAATTTAAAGGTTGTATAATATCAACAGTGTACGACTTACGGTTGCAAAAAAATAGTATGTATCACTATCAAGTACTAATCAGTTCATTTATAAATTTCTAAATCATCAATTTAGACTGACAACATTAAGGAAATCCCGGAACACTGGAAACTTGTTATTTTACTATGATATGTGACTGTCATCATCAGAATTAAACATTTGTTTTTAGTTCTAATAGCATAGAAGAATTTAGCAATAAAACTTGTTTTTCTAGAAGTAATAAGAGATGAAAGGGAAGAAGGATAATATTTAATTTATTAAAGAAATATACATGAAAGGAAAATTATGGGATAAAAGGACTCTTTATTTAAAATTTGACATGCTTAATTCACAACAGTGCCATCTATATCTTTATATGATGAATGATGTGGAAAATACCCTCGTTTTCTAGCTAAAAAAGGGTAAATTCAGATAATTTCCGTTATTGTTTCTTTTACAAGAAACCTTTTTCATGCAAACACAATTGAAGAAAATAAATTGCTGCAAAAATTATGAAGCCTTTAATCCTTTTCCAATCAAAGGTTTGAAATGGAGTTGATTGTCTCTTTAAATCAGTTTTTGTTTTAGATGATCCAGTGGCCTGCAAATCCTGGTGGAATGTATTAACCCGGAAATATGTAATTTTGTCCTGGTTGTCCGGGGGCCTTTGTATACTACTGGGTGTCCTCTTTCTAGTCATTCATTTCCTGGTGGTTTCTAGGACATCATCTCTGCAATACTTCCAAACCATACCAGCATACATACCAGCTATTGTGGTAGGTTTATACCAGCTTACATACCAGCTATAGTGGTAGGTGTATACCAGCTTATATACAAGCTATAGTGGTAGGTTTATACCAGCTTATATACCAGCTATAGTGCTAGGTTTATACCAGCATATATACCAGCTATAGTGGTAGGTTTATACCAGCATTCATACCACCTATAGAGGTAAGTGTGTACTAGCATACATATCATCTATAGTGGTAGGTTCATACCAGCATACATATCAGCTATACTGGTAGGTTTATACCAGCATACATACCAGCTATTGTGGTAGGTTTATACCAACTTATATAACAGCTATAGTGGTAGGTTTATACCAGCATACATACCAGCTATAGTGGTAGGTTTATACCAGCATACATACCAGCTATAGTGGTAGGTTTATACCAGCATACATACCAGCTGTTGTGGTAGGTTTATTCCAGCTTATATAACAGCTGTAGTGGTAGGTTTATACCAGCATACATTCCAGCTATAGTCGTAGGTTTATACCAGCATACATACCAGCTTTAGTGTTAGGTTTATACCAGCATACATAACAGCTATATTGGTAGGTTTATACCAGCTTATATAACAGCTGTAGTGGTAGGTATTTACCAGCATACATACCAGCTATAGTGGTAGGTTTATACCAGCATACATACCAGCTATAGTGGTAGATTTATACCAGCATACATACCAGCTATGGTGGTAGATTTATACCATCATACATACCAGCTACAGTTTTAGGTGTATACCAGCATATATACCAGCTATAGTGGTAGGTTTATACCGGCATACATACCAGCTATAGTTTTAGGTGTATACCAGCATACATACCAGCTATTGTGGTAGGTTTATACCAGCATACATACCAGCTATAGTTTTAGGTGTATACCAGCATATGTACCAGCTATAGTGGTAGGTTCATACCAGCATATGTACCAGCTATAGTGGTAAGTTCATACCAGCATACATACTAGCTATACTGGTTGGTGTATACCAGCTTATATATCAGCTATAGTGGTAGGTTTATACCAGCTTATATACCAGCTATAGTGGTAGGTTTATTCCAGCTAATATAACACCTATAGTGGTAGATTTATACTAGCTTAAATACCAGCTATAGTGGTAGATTTATACCAGCATACATATCAGCTATAGTATTAGGTTCATACCAGCTATATTGGTAGGTTTATACCAGCTTATATACCAGATATAGTGGCTGGTTTATACCAGCTTACCTACCAGCTATAGTGGTAGTTGTATACTAGATTAATTATATATCCAATATATAGTATCCATGTTTAGATGATATGTAATGGTATCCATGTATCTGTATCCAATATATAGTATCCATGTTTAGATGATATGTAATGGTATCCATGTATCTGTATCCAATATATAGTATCCATGCTTAGATGATATGTTATGGTATCCATGTATCTGTATCCAGTATAAAGTATCCATGTTTAGATGATATGTAATGGTATCCTTGTATCTGTATCCAGTATATAGTATCCATGTTTAGATGATATGTAATGGTATCCTTGTATCTGTATCCAGTATAAAGTATCCATGTTTAGATGATATGTAATGGTATCCTTGTATCTTTATTCAGCAAGGGAAGTCTAAGATATCCAAGCCTGGTAAGTTTGTTTTGTTTTTAACAAAATGTTAACTTTATATTTTAAAGATGCTTTAACGGCCCACATATATATAGCCTGCTTATAAAGATGCTTTAACGGCCCACATATATATAGCCTGCTTATAAAGATGCTTTAACGGCCCACATATATATAGCCTGCTTATAAAGATGCTTTAACGGCCCACATATATATAGCCTGCTTATAAAGATGCTTTAACGGCCCACATATATATAGCCTGCTTATAAAGATGCTTTAACGGCCCACATATATATAGCCTGCTTATAAAGATGCTTTAACGGCCCACATATATATAGCCTGCTTATAAAGTCTCGTCTATTTGTAAGATAAGGTCGACCCTGAAGTGTCGCACTCGCAACGTCTTGGGTTTTGAGTCTTCCGCTCTAACTAACTTCTGCTTTTCTATAGCCCTTTACATGTACATTTTAGCACAATAAAGCGCGCACTTGTTGTTAGCTTTGGTTTTAAAGAAGATATTGGCAAAATTCTTAAAGATTTTTGCGTATTTAATCTGTAAATGTTTATTAAAGAGCAGATCTGTTTCTAGATCTCAATTAATGGGAAACTATTTTCATTATTTTCTAGATTAAAGAGTATATATATATATATCTACCGGTGTTTAATGTATAAATTAAGCAAGCTCTGTATTTGTGATCTGCTAAATGTTCTGCAGTTTACCCAGCTAAACTAAACAACTCGGAATACAGCTCATATTTCAAAGGACAAATTTGGCGCGAATTTCCTGCAAAGATCTAGACATTTAATCTCATAAGAAATGCGCAAAAACTTGTTTGCAAATCCTCCCACGCCCTGCAAACTATGTAAACAAAAATTGGCAAACGTGTACGCTTTCAAAATACGTATTTTCAAAGTCAATTTACAAAATATGCATTTTTAAAGTGAATTCACAAAATACGTATTTTTAAAATCAATTTTACAAAATTACTACGCAACCTTTCTTTGTGTTTTGTCAAGATAATTTCATTATTTAAATGTAGTATTTATGGAACATTTAGCTAAAAATCCAACTTATAATTTTTAAAAAATGAATAGTTTAATTTACGGAGTAATCGAACCCAGGGTTTGACAAATTAGTTAGTAACGAGTTTAAAGGCTATATTTAAACCATTAAAGCTTTAAAAACCTGTCACATTTAGTTTTGATCAGCATTAAAGTCTTATCCTTTTTGGGTTAAAACTCTGTACATTTTGAATTTAATGTTTTTAAATTTAACAAAAAAAATCCTACATACACACATTATTAACTACTCTGGGGCCTGTGCATTGTGCAAGGTTCGAAATAACTAGAAGAATAATGGTTCTCAGGTGTGTCCAAGTTCTGCAATATTTTTTCTGGAAATGTTTATTTTTTCAATTAGCTGCATTCGCAGTGTATATTTTAGCAGTTCCTTATACACGTAGACAGTATGGTGGGTGGGCGGATGGCTGAGGGGTAATATTTAAGGAATTTAAAATTTAAACAAAATATAAAATCTGAAAATCTGAAAACATTATCTAAATATATATATTAAAGTTTGTAATCTCTGTTTGTCTGATGATATGTTTGTATGTCTGATCACTATTCTCCGGAGAGCTCATGGTTCTAAGCTTGGTTTTGAGATTTTAAGTTGAGTGGGTCCACTTGTATAGGGAAAAGACGACATGTCGTAAATCGTGATTTACGACCAAGCGCGGGTAAACGGCGGGAGTAAAGAATAAAAAATGTGCATTAACATCAATGATAGCTTCTACTTTGTTGGCCCAAAAAAGGTTAAAACTTCAGAAACAGCTGTACAAGATTTTTCCACCAACTCATTCATACATTTAAGGCTCCCGGCCCTGCAGCTGTAAAAATGATCGAATTATATAATATGCTATAACAAGACTAATTTGAGACAAAAAACCAAATCACAATTTCTGGTCCATATATAAAGAGTTTCAGGTCGTCATTAAAATATCATCCTTTATGTGTACCCCTGTATACTGTTTTATTTTTCTTAATTAGGTTTCTAAAGATAATCTTAATGAGCTAATTCATCTAGGTTTTTTTCTCCCACGCGCGTTTAATGTTTATACATGTAATATACATAACAAGCTTGGGAACCCAGCTGTCCCTGAAGTTTTTATTCAAAACATTCTACCATGTTCTCCAATCAACATTTGAGGCAAACTGGTCCAGTGGTTCATGATTATGACATCTAAACAAAAAAAATATTATTATTGCTTTGCATGTATATATATATATAGATTACATATTGATTTAAATATGTTTTAACATTTTTTTCCCCTTATTTTGTTAATTCGCCCAAATAAACAGGAAAAATGTCAAAAACGGTACTATTTTTGTTATTGTTTTATAATGTACAAAAAATAATTGCTCGGTGGTAAAGTAAAAATTCCAGTTAATGTAAAGCTCTAAAAAAAACATCAAGTAGAAACATACAGATTGAATTAAGCAGAACATCTTTTTAAACGATTTAAGAAGAAAAAAGATAATTGTTTTTGTTTCCCCTACTCTACATATTTAAACACATTTTGCATAATTTAATTATTTTTTCTGATTTTAATCTAACTTTACCTTGGTATTGTGTGGAAATTTTTTCAAACATAAACAAAACTTAGAGAAAAAGTTTTACTAAATCAAATATAAAAACTTCACTCCCCTCTCTTCCCCCCCTCTCTTCCCCCCCCCCTCTTCCCATCTTGAGAAGTTCTAACCTTCTTGAAAATTCATCAAGTTTCAGAAACTACATATATGCAGAATGTGGAAACATAACATATCTCTACACATATTCCATGTACAAGGAAGACGCCCAAGAATTTCTATAATAGAAACTAAGCTGCCTTACTTATAACCCCCCCCCCTCCCCTCTGCTCCCACCTCCCTAAAAGCGCTAAGGGTGGCACTGTATAATACCAATGACGTCGTGAATAACTACTTTTAAAAATTCCATTTCCACCTAATCTGTTTGGATTAAGGATTTAAAGAGGGAAATTGTGTTTGTTTACATTTTTCTGTGACTTATAAGGAACTAGTTTTATTGTAAACAAGCAGGGAATTAAACAAACAACAATGGAGTTCATTGTTGAATGGAATTGAAAACTATACAGTAATCTAATTAGATGGTTAGGAACATATTTCTCAAAAGAATTTATTTGCAGATTTCTTCAAATTCTTCAAATGTCGTCTTTTCAATAATAATTTCAGAAAATCTGCAGAAAATCTTTGTGAATAATGAGAAAATAAAAACTAATAATTGAACAAGATTACTTATTTTCGATGAAAAGATTAATTTTTATTTTCTCAACCTGTTCCTAAACAACTAATTAGTTTACCGAAGAATTTTGTTTACATTTTTGTCGTCGTTATTTAATAATTTAAAGAAACCGATTCTGTAAATGTATCTATCTACCCAAAAGTACGATTTTGAACGTCGACTTTGCGGTCAAACTCAGGATTTACAGATATTTATAAAGTGTTATATGTCTCAAATGAATCCTAAAGAATTTGTCCACAACACTGCATACTCAGTTCAACTACCTTACATAGCCGGTCACTCCCTTTAAATCTTTGCCAGAGCAAAAATTATCGAGATATCCTTGCTATTCCATCTAAAGATTATTTCTCTGCCAGTTCCCTAGGTTTCATCATACATTTTATGTTTTTAAGTATTACTTAGTTTCAATAGCATATTGAGCGCATGTAAAAAACTCAAATATATATTTAGATAAAATTGACTGGTTGCTTTTGCTTAATAAGTTCTGCACTTTGTGTTGTTGTGACGATAACAACAACTGTCATCCACATGAACAGGTTGGTGACATTTTTTAATTTATTTTTATTTCGTTTCTGTCCACCCTGTTACTTTCATAGTCCCCCTTTGTCTGGGAATGTGCGTCGTTTTAAAAACGAATGAAACCCTTTCTGAGATATAAACTTTAGATCGATTTTAAACAAATCCCAACCTAACTCTCTTTCACTAAAATTGCATCATTTTCTTCTCAATTTATTTCGCCAAAAACTTTGGCATCATCAGGAGTCGTTCTTACTTTTTTGAAGATAAAGGTCTGCCTAAGCAAGATGAGACGACTCTACGTAATTTATTTTGCCTTTTCTCTGACTTTTTAGTTTCCATCTTCTTTCTTTCTTTAGCAAATCATCTAACATTTCAGTTAAAGACTAGTTTAAAGACAGAAGTAAAAAATGAACTCACTTTTTAGGTCGTTATTAAAATGTCATCCTGTATAGGTAACCATATGCAAAAATTCATCCAGGAACAATGAAACGCCCCATCCCCCCTCTCCATAGAAACTGAATACCATGTTTATTTTATATAGCTATATAAAAATACAAGACAATCCATAATGTAATCAAACAGCAACATATATCTCTGCCAAATCTATCCTCACAAACAAACAACAAGTAGGTAGTTACAGTACAGGGAGTCCAACAAAAATTATCTTTGTCATGAGATTTTCAATTGTCTTAAATTTCTTTAAGTAAATTTTTTGGAAATAAAAAGGTTAACTAGTTTATAAAAAGCTTAACAGTTCTTTTAGTGTATCTAATTATGTAATTATCATGTTTATCGGAATACCCCGTGCAATAAACAATACCTACTAATATTCAGGAAGCAAAATACAGAAATAAACCCAAGACAAGGATTTTAAGCTCCATAGAATTCTAATCCCGTGTCAGATATTGATTAAATCTACATAATTTTAATCCATCATATATCTTCCTTGTATACACAGTTTACCTTTAAATGATTAACTTGCATTAACTCTCATCTTCTTTCTACTCCTTCCAACAATTGTACGTTCTTCTCTTCTCGATCCTTTACCCTTTAAAGGGACTGTAAGCGTATTTTCAAGTGACCCTCCCTTTAAAGATGGCAATGCCTGATTTACAACGGTATCCTTAATAGCTTTGTCTGCAGATGACGTATGAATTAGAAAAACGGCAATATCTTCCACATTATTGATCAGATAATGGTTTAATTCAATGATACCGTTCTGAATTATACTATGCCTTCTTATCACGGAGGGTCACTTGAAATTACACCTACAGTCCCTATAACTCTTGCTTACAAGAATGATATTATACTGGAGTGAGATGAATACTAGACAAGGGTGAAAAGTTCAAATGCATACCAGAGGAAATACACTTTTTGTTTAAACGTAATTACTAGAACAAGGTGACTAGATACTAGAACCTAGATACTATAGATACTACAGAATATAGAGGCTAGATACTATATACTAGATACTATAGAAACTAGATACTAGATACAAAAGAGAGACTATAAAGACTAGGAACTAGAGACTAGAGACTATAGAGACTCGAGACTAGAGACTATTGAGACTAGAGACTAGGGATTAGAGACTACAGAGAATACAGACTAGAGACTAGGGATTAGAGACTATTGAGAATATAGACTAGAGACTAGGGATTAGTGACTACAGAAGACTACAGAGAATACAGACTAGAGACTAGGATTTAGAGACTATTGAGAATATAGACTAGAGACTAGGGATTAGAGACTATAGAGAATATAGACTAGAGACTAGGGATTAGAGACTATAGAGAATACAGACTAGAGACTAGGGATTAGAGACTACAGAGAATACAGACTAGAGACTAGGAATTAGAGACTATTGAGAATACAGACTAGAGACTAGGGATTAGAGACTATAGAGAATACAGACTAGAGACTAGGGATTAGAGACTACAGAAGACTACAGAGAATACAGACTAGAGACTAGGGATTAGAGACTATTGAGAATAGAAAATAGATACTATAGACTAGAGCAAGTTAAGATATTTGTAATATTAGCTGGTTAAAGCCCGGCACTCTTTACATTCTTTGCCAGATCGTGGTAGAAAAATAAGAATTAAGATTACAAAATACAACCTTAAAGTATAAATAAACACTACAGCTAGATTTTAGTATTTGTTAAAACCACAATACATGCATGTTGTATTGGTGTACAGTGTGCATCTGGTGTAAGGTGTACAGTTAAACTGTACAATGTACATGAATGAAAATTAACATAGGATTCCTGTTTAGATTACAGACACTGCGTGAATGTGTTTATCAATCATCTACTAAGACATGTACATGCTTCGCTGGAATCCTAGATCCTAGATCTATAGAACATGAAGGTAATTTAACAATATATTCATTTCGTAGATTTTCTCCCAGATTTTAACAGATTATTACTTTGACTTCTATAGAAGTTTTATAAAATGAAACGGTTTAAATCAAAAAATAGATATGACAAAAATTTAAGAACCTGTTTCTTGAGGTACAATTTTGATGATGATTTTATTGATGTTTTTACTAAAATACTTAAAAATTCTATAATATATTAAAAGATGTCCACAATTTCTTGGGTTGCCTAACAAAGGTTTTTAATTGTGTTTAAATGCGATAATTAATAAATCTTTGTAACTTCAAGTGAACCTCCATTTATAGATTGTAGTGCCCTCAAGTCTTTAATTCTCACAATTTCCTCCCCTGTTTATGTAGCTAGAAATCTGCAAGTCACTTTTATAGAGAAACCCCAATTGAAAACAACCAGCTATTCAACTTATAACCCTAAACAATCTGGTGGGGGGGCGTTTGGTGCTCCCCCCCGCGCCTAGTTTTTTGCCTAAGCACTCTTCTTTTGACAATATAATCGTGAACATTTTTTGACTTTTAATAAATAGAAATCTAAAGGATTTTTGTAAAAAAAAGGTAGGGTACGGGGCGGTAAAAAGTTCGGTCTGTGTAAAAAAAAATAAAATAGTCCTTAACTTTTTTATGACTTAAGCTACAGATCTAAAAACTATATTTTTTAAAAGCCCTTGAAAATTATATGTAGAAACATGTGTCACTTTTTGATATTTGTTTTAAAGAAAATTTTTTTTTTTACATTTTTTAAACCTTTTATGGTATTTTTTAACCCTCCTTAGCACCAAAACTATAAAAGTTATCGATCTAATATTTTTTCAATGAGCTGGCCGTGAAAAATTGGGCTATGAACATGCATTTCAACCTTATACCTATTCTCTAAGGCCTTTTTCTAGAGGGAGGGGCGTGGGACGCCCCCCCCCAGCCTTTTTAGGGTTAATTTTAATCTAATAAAACTTGTAAGGGTACACAGTCCCTTTAATTAGATTTTTCTTATTCCTATTTATATTCGTATCTCAGATCTCTTGATTATCTCTTCAAAGCTGATTATATAAAGGATAAGGGGAAAAGGGAAAATAGGAAAGAACTATTCTCCAAATCAGAGAAGATTTTGTTTAGAGAATCTATGTTGGAAGCCTGATCATTTTTATTGTTACGCTGCAGTTCAGTCAGTACAACATTTGCGTTCTAAAAATATCAAGTGCGTCAAAAAAATGAAATTTTTTTAGTATACTTTTTCAAACATAAGGTTTCGAACATTTTTCCTCCTGCATACGTCTCTATTAGTTTACATTCGCCACTTTGCATTATTAATATATCCATGATTTTGATATGAAATTTTAAGAATTAAACAATTACAAGCTAGAAAAATATGCAGACATCTTCCTCATTATTGATTAGATAGAGTTTTACAGGGTATAGTTGTGAATCTGGCCTGGTCTCCTTTAAATGGCGGTGGGCTTTTCTTAACCCTATAAAGGCTGGGGGGTCTGAATCTATGTATAGCCTGGGGGAGCGTTTGGCGCCCCCCCCCCCAGAAAAATATAGTTTTTAGATCTGTAGCTTTAGTCAGAAAAAAGTTATGGGCTATTTTAGATTTTTTTCCCACGGATCGGACTTTTTTCCGCCCTATGCCATACCCTGTAAATAAAAAAAAATAATTTACAAAAAATTCTTTAGATTACTATTCATTAAAAATCGCAAAATTTCACGGTGATAGTGTCAAAAATGAGAGTGCTAGAACAAAAGAATGCCCCCCCCCCCCNAATGAAAAAAGACCAATTCTATACATTCCTAGTTCCCTTTCATATTTAATGTGCTTTAATATTCTGCATAGTTTGCATCTGCTTCTGCTGATTCATCTACAGGGTGTGCCAAGAAAAACTTTTTGAAAAATGGTCCAATCTTTTTTATTTGGGATTTTAATCAAACATAATAGGTTAAAACCCAAAAGCTATAAGTAAGAAATGCTGAATAAAGAAAGATGTCATTTTATTTCAGACACCCTGTTGAGAACTAGTGACCAGGGTTGTAACAATGAAATACCAGATTGTTAAAATATAAAATTAATCGGATAAAATTTTGCTTCAAAGAGTTAAATGGGACTGTTGCTGTAGTTTCATGTGATCCTACATTTAAAATAGCATTGCCTGATTCACAACGATCCCCTTGCTTAAACAGCATAAATGCGCAAACCAATTTAGTAAAGATTGCATAATTGACAATATTAAGTTTTGAAAAAGAAAAACATGGATATTTATTTATACTTGATCAGACAAAGCTATTGAGGGTACTGCTGTGAATCGAGCAAGCTACTCTATAAATGGAGGTTTCATTTGAAGCAAAGTTTACGTTTTCATCGAATTTTTAAAGAAAAAAAAGAAGAAAAAAAAACAGAAACCTTTGGCTAGGTCTTAAAAAATATACAATAATTTAATCCATTAACCAATTAAACAAATTTCCGGTAAAATTGAAACAACCCAATAGTTTCAAATTATTAGATTAAAGTTGGGTTTGGAAATTCAGGTTTCAAGTTCTGATCCAGAATTTATTTGATGGATGATCCAGAAATGAGGGGGAATGGGGGAGGAGAGGGAAGGGGGGGATCATCTCGGGAATATCAAATTAAATTCCTTATTCAGCGCCTGCCCTGTCCTTGTGTGTATAATGATACCAGGCTTAAATAATGTCTAAACAATTTGTCTTCAAAAGTCAACTTTAATTGTGATTAAGACTTCTATTTTCGTTTTTCTAAATTCTAAACTAATGCAGTCTCTACATCAACCTGACATCTACCCGGCCATCCCCCACCCCCTCCCTATTGGTTTCTATTAGCTAAGAAGATTTGAATGTTCTAATCACTCCTAAAAGTGTTAAATTGTCAATTTTTAATTTTAATTAACTGAATTATTTAAAATAGTTTTCAATAGAAGAGAAGGATTTTCATTTTATTCCAATTGCACTTGGATATATTTGATTTTTTAAAAATGGCAAAATCTAATTTGTGTGAATGAAAAAGTTTTTACATTTATCATTTTTATTGTTTTATCAACTCATAGTCATTGGTCACCCTAATCTAAGCTTTTGGTCGGTACTGCAACAATCTGCAGTACATTGACCGAATACAAAATGGGGTTTAGTGGAGAGTGTAGTGGATATATAAACATAAATACTAACTACTAGCTTAGATACCAGCTATTCCTAAAAACTAAATTTTCTCCATAAAAGTTAAATACTAACTATTAGTTTGGATACCAGCTATTCCTAAAAACTAAATTTTCTCCATAAAAGTTAAATACTAACTACTAGCTTAGATACCAGCTATTCCTAAAAACTAAATTTTCTCCATAAANTTTCTTGACTTTACTCAAATCTCAAGGAGGGCCGGATATATGGATATATATAAATATATATATATATAGAGATATATATATAATACGAGGGAGAAAGTGGAATTCTTTATTAAATTTTGTCCTTTTAGAAACTAAATCCAGTACTTTTCACTCAAATAACCAAAACTATGTTTTACAAATTGGGACTATCGAAATCCATTCGACTGAAAAGAAATGAGGGAGATATTTTTTTTCAAACTAAAGATGGATGTAGAATTTCTCTATGAAAGTGACCAATAGATTTATGCAGTAGAGCCGAGGAAGAAAATTAACAAAATTTATATATTTTAAAAATTTTAAATGCTTGTTTTTTCAGTCTAGTACATAATAGATAGAATTCTTATTATTATTTAAAGTTTCCTTTGTAATAAAGTGTGATGGGTTTAGGGGAATGTTTGGTTTATCTGTTATTGGTATTCTTGTCAGCATATTCTCTTGTATGCTGGTTTATCAAATACTCAGGTAATTATCAACTTTTTAATTTCTTCATTCTGTAGATTTGGAATTTTTCATTTCGTAGATTTCATTTTAAGCATTTTTTAGTCATGAGAAAAAGAAGCAATATCTTCAGCAGTTAGATTCTCAATGTAGAACTATGTACTGCAGGTAATAAACAGTGTACTAGTGTACTGCAAGTAATAAACAGTGTATTGAAAGTAGTTAACATTGCCTACAGTTAGTAAACAGTGTCTTCCAAGTAGTTAACAGTGTACTGCAAGTAGAAAATTCTACTGCAAGTAGTTAACAATGTACTGCAAGTAGTAAACAGTGTACTGTGTCTATAGGTAGTAAACAGTGTACAGCAAGTAATAAATAGTGTCCTGCAAGTAGCAAACAGTGTACTGCAAGAAGTAAACATTGTACTGCAAGTAGTAAGCAGTGTACTGCAAGTAGTAAACAGTGCACTACAGCTAGATAGTAAACAATGTACTTTAGGTATTAAACTGTGTACTGCAAGTAGTAAACAATGTACTGCCGTAGTAGAAAATAAACGGTGTACAACATTATTTGTCAAGTTACAATTAATGCATTATAATTATTTAGGCCTGGTATTTCCAGATCTGTACAAAGTTACTGCAGTACAGAGAGTAATTGTCAGTGCAGTAGACAACAGTTAGACTATCTAAACTACAGGTAAACATATTACAACAGTTAGACTATCTAAACTACAGGTTAAAATATTACAACAGTTAGACTATCTAAACTATTGGGGTAAACATATTGCAACAGTTAGACTATCTAAACTACAGGTAAACATATTCCAACAGTTAGGCTATCTAAACTACAGGTAAACATACTACATTAGTTAGACTATCTAAACTACAGGTAAACATATTACAACAGTTAGACTATCTAAACTACAGGTAAACATACTACAACAGTTAGACTATCTAAACTACAGGTAAACATATTACAACAGTTAGACTATCTAAACTACAGGTAAACATATTTATCAATCAACGATTGAGACAGACAGGGATAATATTTAATAGTTAACCTTGTTTTAAAGGGACCGTTCACTTATTTGGGTAATTTCAGGGTAAACTAAACAGCCTATTCGAATTCTGAACGAAAAATCGGCTTTTCTCCGGCCACAGTTGTCTTCGAAAACTAATACCAATACCAATCAACAGCAAATAGGCTGTTTAGTTTACCCTGAAATTACCCAAATAAGTGAACGGTCCCTTTAAGATTTATAGATATAAAGAAGTACCTGGTCAAATCCTGAGCAGATTTTCAAATTGACTTATTTTAGTTGAAAGCATAAAAATTAAATCTGTTTTGATTTTTATTTGTTTTAAAATTAGAATGATCAACAAACGAAATCGTTGAAATTTTAGATAAAAGTTTGATATCTGAGAAACTTATTTAAAAAATAATAAATGGCAAAAATCGGCGGAATTTTTAAAGAAACGACTTCTTGGTTTTTGTAATTGTTAAAGAAATTTGAACAGAATCCAACAAAAAAACACTTAAAAATTCCTAAACTTGAAAACAGGGGAATAAATAATTTTTCAATGAAATTTTGTTTTTGTAAAATCATGTTTGCAGATTTTATGTGTTTTTCTTTTATGGAGGGTAATTTTTAGGTCAATTACAACATAGAGTAGTTTCATATATTATTTATTAAATTAAGATACAAAATAGTAAACAAGCAAAAAAGGATTTTAGTTTTAAATTTGGTTAAGACATGTTTGTCATTATTATCATGAAGGAAGCAGTGAGTATGAATGCATAAAGCTGCATTAAAATGAGGATTGCAATTTGCAACGTGTTTGCAAAATTCTATTTTACGATGGGATGTAATTATGGCAAAGAAATTGATTTAATACGGACCAGAGTCCTAAACTTAAGGTCATAATGAAACCCAGTTTCGAAAACCCGGTTTCATGACCCGGTTTCATGAATGGGATTCAGACAATTTTGTAGATAATAAATCTTTTGTTTAGAAATACTATTACCATTACTATTACATAGTATTACATAGTATTACTTTATCTTTTTTGTCTGATTCCTTAAATTAAAATCTACGCAAATGTATACACCCCAAAAAGGAAACTCGGAAGTTTTGTTCAACATATACTCTCTTTAATGCCTGGACTGGGACTGTTTAGTATTCGGTCCCGGAAATCTAGATAAAAGGGTCTCAACACGAACTCATGTTTCAAGGAACAACTTTCATTTTCTTAAAGGGACTGTCAGCATAATTTCAATTGACCTTCCATGCAAAACTGGCAAAATTCCAGATTTCCAACGATACCCTTTTATGCTTAAGTATGCTTTCTGATTTCTTTGCATTTCTACTGCAGGAAACCAACAAAGGAACGATCAAAATATACACCTTTTAAACCAAGAAAAACGACTACATCTTCCACATTCTTTATCAGATAATGGTTATTTGGGTACTGTTGTGAATCATGAATTACCACCTTTGCATGGAGGGTCACTTGAAATTACGCGTACAGTCCCTTTCATTCCTGTATTTATATGAAAAAGCACTAATCTATAACAACACTTGATCTCGATATCCACGAGTTCAACTTTTAAGTTTGAGGAAAATGTAATTAATCCTTTAATTTTATATTTATCTCTTCCGCGTTGAATATCACAAAGAGGAATTAATGGAGTTGAGCCACAAACTTGAGTTTGCACACCCCTATATCTTTGCAACGTGATGGTGTTATCCTTTGATATTTTAACTTATTTGTTTTAACAGAATTCATAGTTTAAAATTTGTAAGGTCTACAACATTGGGTTGCAAGGGTTAGAAAATCAGAGTTCCTGTGATTCTGCTGAGTTCTAATCTGCAAATTTGAGGCAAATCGGTTCAGGGGTTCATTAGTTTAGCTCGGGCATTCAAACAAACAAATAAAAATGAAAATACTTCTTTAATATGATCTGGTATCAAATAAGATTTTCGGAAATATTTCAAATATTTCTTTGATTTGAAACAAACATGATGTTTTCTTGTTTTGAAGAGACTGAAGTCTCAAGTTACAACTTTCAAGTCTTGAAAATCAAATAGGTTTGAGATGAATCAGAATAAACAACTGCATCTGTCATTTCTATTTTTATTTTCAATCATTATTTTTTAAAAAGAAATTGAAGTTAACTGTCTTCCAGGAATGAAATTGGAGTGGATATGTCCAGGGATCATACTGTATTAGTGTGATGTACTGCGTAAAATTTGTAAACATTTACATGAATTGTACACTTTGAACTCTCTTTCAAACTGAAAGGGACTGACAAAATTCATACTGAGGGATTGTTTAAATTCCACTCTAATATATTCTATTTTCTTTGACTAGTTCTGTTTCAAATTTTTGATAAGGGTTTCTGAATCAAATTAGGAACACAATTATTGTGATTTAAATTATTGATTTTATATCTTTCCTGAAATATGATTTTAAGACATTTGTTATTTTTAGGCTCTGGGGTCGACGATGTGATAACCTCTATTCTCCGACCCCTTTAAACACAATGAGCACCAGGACAGGGACACCAAGTTCCCTGCTAGGTTGGGGGTCATCCTGGTCCAGGGGGGACCCAGGACCAGCAGGGGATCAGGGGCACTGGAGAACTTCACAAGCCGATGATGTTTATGGATTCAGGTATGGAAGGTTCAAGTCAGGGTCACAAATTGCACAGACAGGAAAAACATGTCCGAGTTTGATCATTTCCACGTTATAAGGTTAAAACTAGAAAATTGTATATTAGAAAGACGAGTGTTAGACTTAAGTTAAAACAGTCCAATGAACATTAGACAAAACAATTGTGCAGTGTACACAGTACAACATTTACTTAATATAATTTAATTTTTAAGCTATGGGTAAAACTACCATGCTTAATAACAGTATAAAATTAAAAGGCCATTTTCATATTTCACAGTGTCCTGGGTCTTACCGTAATTAATTCTTAACAATAATAATATCTTAATCAGTTTTATATGGCCTTATGCTGTACCTTCGGGGATGTTTAATTTATCTAAGCTTATTATAAACAAAAGCGCTCCCCCCCCCCTTCTCCCCCAACCGGAAATCTAAATATAAATATGGCTTGTCTGTCTGTTTGTTTGTTTGTATCCAATAAACGATATATACCTCTCTATCTAGGCCTGGAGTTGGATTAAGCTCATCTCGTCAGATCAGTTCCTGTTATACAGTTACCGATCTACTAAGAAAAGGAATGCTAGGATCTAGTCACGTGACAGGATTACAAAATGATAGTTTACCTAACCTACTCTGGGGACCTCCTCCACCCTACTCATCATCTGTACCTCAGGTAGATAAAACGTGATACATAGTTGGTATATGAATATATATATGTTTATGTATAAATATATGTGTGTTTATCATGACATGTAGTTTAAATCAACCATATAAATCAACTTTCATTAATCCTCAAATAGATATATCAACCATCATATATACCACAGGTAGATATACCATGATATGTGGTTAATATATCAACCATCATCTATACCTCAGGTAGATATACCATGATATGTGGTTGATATTAAGCATATAAAGCAACTTTCATCAATCCTCAAATAGATATATCAACCATCATATATACCTCAGGCAGATAATACTATGATATGTGGTTAATATATCAACCATCATCAATACCATCAAACCATCCATTTACCGTCAACCATCAAACGGAATAAAAAAGCTGGCAAAACACAAAATAACAACAAATCTAAACCTCAGAAATATATATGTATACAATACATAAATGAATATTTACCAGTACACTATATCATACAGTGAATGGTGTGTTAGTCTATATACAGTGTTCAGATAGAATACAAATCCTCTCTGGAGCCTGACAAATCGTGCTTTTGCTAATGTGGGCATGACGTATGTTTTTCCATCCTTTTTCACGAGTTAAAAAGTGCAACTATTTGCTACATTCTTCATACTTTCTACATTTTTGTTAAATTTGATTTTCCCCTTTTTTTTAATCGAATCTTTCTCTCGTCCCACTTTTTAAACTTTTTCTTCCTTCTTTTCTGTTTTTTAGTATTTAAAATATCTGACTTTGTCCGTTCTTTTTTACTACTTTTAAACAATTAGAAGTTAGAAAAGTCAAAATTATAATACTTGCCATTTTTTGTGTACTGTTCACCGTTCCGTTCTAACAACTTAACTTTTGCTGTTTACAATTGTCCATTTACCGTTTATCGTTTACCATTTACTTTTACTATTTACCATTTACCGTTTATCTTTTACCGTTTATAGTTTTCCATTTACCGTTTATCGTTTACCATTTACTTTTACTATTTACCATTTACCGTTTATCTTTTACCGTTTATAGTTTTCCATTTACCGTTTATCGTTTACCATTTACTTTATTTTTACCATTTACCGTTTATCTTTCACCCTTTACTGTTTTCCATTTACCGTTTATCGTTCACCATTTACTTTTACTTTTCCCCATTTACTGTTTATCGTTTGCCGTTTTTTGGTTTACAGTGATAACAAGAGAACTCTTAAATAGAAAGACGACTGTTAGACTCGGTGTACAGTTTTCATGTTTATATTTACTGACAATTCTAATTTCCAAGAATTCTGAAAATTTATATTTTTAGGGTCAGGACTCAGCTCTTTCACAGTCTCTGAGTAATCATCTTAACCCTCAGATATCTTTCTCCAGCTCTCATCCAACCTTCATCCCCTCACCTCCATCCTCCTCATCCATCTCCTCTCCTTCATCCTCCTCATTCATCACAGCTCCAACCGCTCATCCTTCGCAATTTACTTCAAATGTTAATCCTACATTTCAACCTCAATCCATTACATCTCAATCTTCCAATCCTCAATCCTGTTCTCCTGCTCCAACCCCTTCCTCCTCCTCCTTCTCTCCTGCTCCGATCCCTTCCTCCTCCTCCTTCTCTCCTGCTCCGACCCCCTCCTCCTCATCCTTCTCTCCTGCTCCCACCCCTTGTCCCTCCATATACTCCCAGATCCTTCCTGCCCCTATCATCTCTCCTACTGAGAGTATACCAAGAAAATCTAAATCTGGCCTGGTTCAGGACTCCAGGCTCAATAAATATCCTCAGCCTGCTCCTTCCTCCTTTACCAGAGTTACCAGAGAACCTAGAGAACCAGAGGAACCTGAACGATTTAAAGAACCTGGAGAATTAAGAGAACCTAGTCAGGAACAGATGATTTATAATTGATGAAACACAAACAGGTTCTTGTCTGCGCCAACATTGTCAAGCCATGTCCAGCTCATCATTCTTGTAACAATACAATATGCGCGTGCAAATACTTGCTGTCAGCCACCCCCCCCCCCCCAAACTTATTCTTTCCTCTCTCGTGTCATATATGCCATGCCATTTAAGGCTCTGCTTACGGAAGAGTTTTATTTAGAATTAATCCCATGGATTTTTTCTCATTAATCAACTTTCAATTATCAAGCTTAGGCTTTACTATTTTCAACAACACTTCAATAATTACAAATAATCAACTGAAGGCATGACCGCCCCCCCCCCTTTTACAGCATGCATCTTTCTGAAAAAAACGTCCTTTTTTAACATGCATTTCCGGCATGTTTCATCTTTATAATCTGATATGTGACAGGAGAAAATTCAAAATTACCAGTCCGAGGGGGAGGAGCAATCCACCCACACCTACCAGACTATACAGGGGGAAGGACGGCAAAACCACACCTACCAGACTATACAGGGGGAGGGACGGCCAAACCACACCTACCAGACTGTGCCGGGGGAGGGGGGGCATATCTATCAAGCCCTGCAGCTCCGGAAACGAGGGGAAAATAAACACGAGGAGGATTTGAACGAAATCAGGAAGGCGTTAGAATCTCTGGATCAAGGAATACCTAGAATACAATCCAGGTAGGCACAAACGGATATTAACAGGAACACTTTTTAAAAAATAAGTTTTCACTTTTCAGCAGGTTGTGGAGCGGCAGGTTCTGCCGCAGCACAATCTTTCTGGAGCCGAGCGTAAAAAAGGATTTTAAAGATTGACTTTGCGCTCTTACTTTGAAATTATACACTGTACAGGTCTCAAATGATTTCTAAAAAAGTCTCTGCAATCTCATGGCTCAACTATTTATCTATCCAGACACTCCTTTTAAGATAGTGAAGAAGATCCTTTTAAAACAGTTAGGTTTTAAAGGTCATTTTAGAGGTTTAGTCAAATTTGGTGAGTCGGTTTACAAAACTAGATAAATGTTTAACGTTGAACTCCATTTTGTTGAATCTAAACGGTTTAGAATAACACGTTTAATTGAATTAATTAAATCTGTTTGAACTAGAGCAGCAGCTGAGGTTTATCAGATGTTTAAATCTGGGTTTGGTTCTCTCCTCCCTCCCACGCTAAAACTAAGAATACAAATTCTATCACGTTGACAGGATTTGTAGAAAAGAGCATGACAATTACTGGGTGGAGTACACAAGTCTCTATAATCTAAATCCTTATCTGTATTCGGAGATTAAGAGAGAGAGTTCTGAGGTTGGATGANTAAGTCTTTAAAACACGCAATAACAAAATCGTTTTTTAGATCGATCCCGTATATCTGTGATGCAGCGGGGATGAAGTTGGGACCAGATACGGGTTTGAGATCTTGGTTGGGTTCGGAGCAGGTTCAAGTTGTTGCAGATCTTCATACTGCTACACCTCAACCAAATCTGTACAGAAACCATTCTTCTCCGGGTTCAGAAGAGGAAAGGATGGCTCAACAGGATGAAAAATCACAAACTTTAAATCTGCAGACCATGCTCAGATCACAGTCCTCAGGCTCGATAGGAACCTTTCCGGATTCGTCCTACTCAGGGTCTAAGCTAACACAGAGGAATATGTCAACCTCTTACCTATCTGGAGCTGGAATACCTCAGTTTATCAGTTCTCCAAACCATCCAGATCCAAACTATCCCTTTTCTCGTTTACATCCTCTTTCCAGACTCCCGGATCCTAACAATCCTCTCTCAAGGCTCCCGGATCCTAACAATCCTCTCTCAAAGCTCCCAGATCCTAGCAAAACTCTCTCAAGACTTCCGGATCCTAACAATCCTCTCTCCAGGCTCCCGGATCCTGGGTATCCTTTTTCCCGGCTCCCGGATCCAAACCGTCCCGTCTCCAGTATCCAGGACACTCTCCCCGTCTCACATGTCTCTGAGTCTTCTAGTTGTGTCTCTCCTCCAGGAAATTACTCCGGAAACATGGATTTCTCTAAACCTTTCTCTTCTCAGTTCTCTAAACACGACTCCACCTCCCCTGCTAAGCAGGGAGCTCCCACCACCCTTATCTCTCCTTCCAGGAGAATGCAGGGTTTCCTTCCCAACAAAATCTTGTCCGGGTTTGTAGCGGCGGGTTCAACCAACATTGCTCCTATCTCTGCTAAACCTGCAGGGTTTCAGTCTCAACCCAACCTGATAGGGTTGCCAAAACTCTCATCTGTATCAACCTACGCAGTGCACGAGGGCAATAATAAGAAAAAAGAAAAGATCTTTACTTCAGGTTCTAAACCTTGTAAACCTGTATCTAGTATATCTAGTCAAATCAATGCTCTGGTGTCTCCAACCCGCCTGGTGTCAAATCGGTTTTCTGGCAGTACAGATTCAACCCAAGCAGGGGAAACCCCGCCATTAAACCATGGTTCAGTTAAACCTAAATCTCCTCCAATTGTTCAACCTAAACCAGTCCTATCTCCGGGTTCTAGTAGAGAATACTTCTCTTCTAAACCTGAATCTTCCTCCTTTAATATATCTCCGATAAACAAATCCTTTCCCCCAGACTCCAACTCATCCAACAGTACTGTTTCAGGATTTAAACCTGTTCTAACCAAACCTCAACTAGGCCGACATACAGAGCATCGACAACATGAGGTCGAAGGTCGGCAGGTTCAGGTTGAGAGTCGAGATTGTGTTTATCTCCGTCCTGGACAAAATATACCGGATGGGTTTAATTACAAGTTTAAACCAATAGGAGAGGACGGAGAGGATGAGAAGAGTAAGAACGAACTGTATACGTCCAGTGACGATATTGTTCTTACTCTTAGGTCCGTTCAAGTCTGATTGATGAGTTCAGGACTGTCCGAATCGAGTGATTTTTGTTCAAAACTAAATATCTCATTATGTTATGTTAAAAATTGAACTAACTTTTTGTTAGTTCTGTGAATTAAAATTAAATTTTAAAATATTTTTTTCTTTTTATTATTTTGTTACTAGCCAATGAACTATGCATTTAAAATTGTCTTACTGTATATGTTATAAAATGCATTTTCATGATGTTATTGTGACTAACATATCATTCTTATAATTTATTATTTCAATATTTATAATATTAGTTTGTTTATTATATTTATTTTCTTCTGTTATAAATAAATATTTAAAATATGTTTATGCAATGTCATATTTTAAACAGTACAATGATTGTGAGGTGTAGTGTTTATTCGTACCGGTCAGTCTAGTGTACCTGCAGTAAGTGGTTGACCCAGCTCGTTTGATGAAACAAAATTAGGCGGACGGGACTATGGTGATATCAATTTTATTTTATGTTTTAAAGTCTGAATTCCTTTGTCTTTATATATTTGTCCATGTCTTGTTAGTTTATTGAGATTTGATTAACATCTAAAAAACATGCATATTAATTCAGGAACTGCACGCATTATAAAAAAATGATCGGAAAAAAACAAACAAAAAACCTTTCGGAATTTTTTATTACAAAGTATACTTGATTGCACATATCTTCATAACTAAATTATGATAATAATAATGCGAACTGCCAATTTCAAGAGAAATAAAATTTTTAAAATCTAAAATTCAGGGAACACTTACTGAATATCTTCCTATTCTACTACCTGAGTATCTTCCTATTCTACTTCCTGAGTATCTTCCTATTCTACTGCCTGCGTATCTCCCTATTCTACTCCCTGAATATCTTCCTATTCTAATTCCTGAGTATCTTCCTATTCTACTCCCTGAGTATCTTCCTATTCTACTTCCTGAGTATCTTCCTATTCTAATTCCTGAGTATCTTCCTATTCTACTGCCTGAGTATCTTCCTATTCTACTCCCTGAGTATCTTCCTATTCTACTTCCTGAGTATCTTCCTATTCTAATTCCTGAGTATCTTCCTATTCTACTCCCTGAGTATCTTCCTATTCTAATCCCTGAGTATCTTCCTATTCTTCTTCCTGAGTATCTTCCTATTCTACTGCCTGAGTATCTTCCTATTCTACTGCCTAAGTATCTTCCTATTCTACTTCCTGAGTATCTTCCTATTCTACTCCCTGAGTATCTTTCTATTCTACTCCTTTAGTATCTTCCTATTCTACTCCCTGAGTATTTTCCTATTCTACTCCTTGAGTAAGAATATTGCTATTTTACTCCCTGACTGAGCATTCTGTAAAATCTAGATAATCGTTATTTTATGTAAATATTTAAAATCTAATTTTACATTATTTGAAAAGTTTGAAAACTCCGGTTAAATTTATCTTTTTCCCTTGTCACAATTGTTTTAGTCCTTGTAGTTTAAATTTGAATAAAAGAAATAGAAGTCGGGTAAGGTTTAATGATAATTTTTAATCAAATATAAAGTTTGAAAAAAAACCTAAAAAAAAGCTGCTTTATGATATCATCTCTTCTGTACAATGTTAAGACTATGTGCAATGTGAAAGAGTTCATATATTATTTTATTTATGTTGATATGAGTTAAAACATATGTATTCAATTCTTAATTTAATCATGCTTAGGAAAGCTCAGACTGCTCATTGCATTATTGCATATATATCTTCAGTCACAATTACTAGGGTCCGTCCTAGTATACGATTTTTGGACCCCCGCCCCTCCCTTCCCCTTCCTATCAATTTTGTACAAGATCACTTATTTTTCAGCAAAGGTCAATTATATCCATGTCTTACATATAAGATCCATGTACATAATTGATAGGAGGGGGAAGGGTGGGGGGGTCCAGAAACCGTATACTAGGAAATTACCAATTACCGTAAAATACTCTGAAGTTTAGACTTAAATAAATAAATGGTAAACCGCTTAGCTATTAATCGGTATTTGTCTTACTGTTTAAAGATATCCAAGGCCGGAGAAAAAGCCGATTTATTGTTCAAAATTCCAGCGCAAAGGTCATCCTTTGTACAGATACTAATTGATGCTTTTTGTCATTAAAATATGATAATTTAAGATTTTCTTGGGCTGTTTAAATAGTGTCTATACAAAGGTACCAGACCGTCCTTTGCGCTGAAATTCTCAACGATAAATCGCCGAATCTGCTAGCTCTATGGCCATGCAGATTCTTAAAAAAATAAGACTGATAAACAGCTAATATGGATATTAGTTTACCCCGAAATTACTGAAATAAGCGAACGGTTAGAATTTAAATACCTTCCTTTTGCGTGGAATGTTGGTATCTTTTTGCAATATTCAATTCATTACAGGGATTATTTTAAAAGAATGCGCTCATCCTGCAGTTTTAGATTCTTTTATGAAAGAATCGTTTAAAAACATATTTTTGCCATCAAAATTGAGTCATCGTTACGAAAAGTAGTAAAATGAATAAACAGGGTTCCCCACAAAGGATGAGACTTCAGAGACGACTTTTCAGAATTAACATTAAAGGGACCGTTCACTCTATAGACACTATTTGATGTTTTTTTTTCAGTATTGTAAAATTAAACTGTAGTATCTAATCGTTAATTCTAAATGTCATAATCTTTTTAATTTTTTGTTTTTTTAACTTTCTATTTCTAAAATACAATATTTTATCGCATTAAAATTGTGTATTGCCTGTGTAAAAAGCTGAAATAAATGCGGCATGAAAAATAAAAAGTTGCGCACACACGGAAGGGGAGGGGGGGGGGGAGGGGAACAAAAATGTATAATAAGAAAACACCTGATTGCTTTTCAGCATTATAAAGCTAATAATTCATTATTTTGAATTTCCCAGACTGCGACTGCAGCTGACGTAATATAATTTTCTTGCGAAATAACACAATTAGCTGATTTATTTAATTATTATTTCTATTACCTGTTCAATTTATTCGTTTTATTCAATGATATTTTAAGAAAATAAACTATTACTCAAAAATGCATAATTGCAAATGTAATAAATACGATACATTTTATTCAAATCGAACTTGGAGTGAATTCACGAACTAAAATACTTGTAATGAATATTTGATTGTCATAGTGAACGTCGTCTTTGTATACACATTTTACATTTTACGAAAAACGTAAATTTCTTGTTAAATATCAAATATCAAAAGTTTTCATATTTTAGTACATAATAACGAATACATAATGACATTAAAATATGATAAATTTAAATTTTATTGGGCTACTGTTACTGAAAATAACATCAAATAGTGTTTGCAGTATAGAGAGAGACCATCCGCTCAAATTCTGAACGAAAAATCGGCTTTTCCTCCGGCCACAGTTGTCTTTAAAAAGTACGACTATTACCAATCAAAAGCGAATAGGCTGTTTAGTTTACCCTGAAATTACCCTAATAAGTGAACGGTCCCTTTAACGTTTATTAAAAAGCTTTATTTTTTTGACTTGGTTCTCTCAGCAGAAAACAAATGAAAACTATAAAATAAGAAATTATCAATTTAATTCCGTGCTTGATGAATTAATCCCTGAATCTCTAAGTCCGTCCAGAACTTATGCAAAAGTACAGTATTGCACAATGTTGTGAAAATCTAACAAGTTTTAAACCACTGTCCCCTGACCGCAGAACAGTACAGAGATAGAGGAATATGTGCCAAGAGCAATGATAAGTTTATATCTAGAGCTCACAACAATTTTACAGAATTAATTCCAGTGACATTTTCACAAGCTTATATACTATATGCATACTTGTATCCACTTATACTTAAATATATTCAATATACATACTTGTATCCACTTATACTCATATATATATATAATATACATACGTTTATCTACTTATACTTATATATATATAATATACATACTTGTATCCACTTATACTTATATATATACAATATACATACTTGTATCCACTTATACAGATTTACAATGGTACCCTTGACACCTTTATCTGATTTACAATGCCTTGACATCTTTATCTGATTTACAATGGTACCCTTGACACCTTTATCTGATTTACAATGGTACCCTTGACACCTTTATCTGATTTACAATGGTACCTTTATCTGATAACAAATTTGGAAAATAACATCGTTTTCCTGATTCGAAGAGTGTTTCCTGTTTATTTCTGTGAATTTCTACATTGGTTCTTTAAGGAAAGAAATTGGCAAGTTACTGTTGAAGAGAACCCGCAATCCAAAACAAGTTATTATATAAACAAAAACATGAAGTTCTAATTCATACTTGATCAGACAAAACTTTTAAGTGTACAGTTGTCAATCGGGCATTGCATACTTTGCATGAGGGTAAAATGAAATTACGCGTACAGTCCCTTTAATGCTAAAAGAGTATGATTATATACAATGTTGAAAGGTTTAACACGTCCTGTTAAGTATCATTTAAAAATCACAATTATTGGAACAATGTTCTATACAGTCTAACTTCTAATGATCAGTGCTAAAGAGTTTTGACTGATGTAATAATCACATCAAACTATAAACATATACATACAGGGTGTCCCAAAAAAACATGAGAATTCAGTGACGAATTGGATATCGTCTTTGTTAGGAATTAGCATTGTAATACTTAATTTCAAAAGTCATAATATTATTATGTCTAGTAGAGTTTATTTTATGAAAAGGGAAAAAGGGTGTAAAGATGTATTAATAATGTCTCCTTAAGATGAACAGTGAAGACGGACAAGTTTACTCTGTTTGTATACTACAATTTTTTTGTTTTATTAAGTACAACCGTATACAGTCAAAACATAAACAAACAACTTGTGAACATAGCAGACGAAACTCTTACAGATTACAGATTTCTCAGTAGGTATCACTATACTAAATTAAATAATTATTTAAAAAGACTATATAGAATTCGTCACTGAATTCCCATGTTTATTGGGACACCCTGTACATATATTTTAAAATTCTAATATTGGTTTAGTAAGACAAATTTGATGAAATAATCAGGGTAAAGAATCACAAAATCCTTAAAAAGAAGGAAGATGGCAATAATTCCTTTATTTTCTGGCTGCCGTTGTAGATATAGTACCGTTAAGTTCTAATATAAACAGACATCGGAAGATTTTATTTATAAAATGTCGTATTCCTTACTTCCTAATAATGGAATGCTGCAGATTTTTAGATTATATGGAGCTTATTAAGACTATTCCCGCATATTTATGGCTATATTTATTTATTTTTGTAATTACTAAGATTTACGTAAAATAGTATAAAACCCATGATGACGTCTAAAAGGCATTTTTTTTGCAAGGGATGCCACTTATAAAAAGAACTCAAATTTTCTAATCCTTTTATCTTTGCCACCTGATTGGTGTAAACCATTGATATTTTAAACTTAGATTATTTTATCCAACAGATATTCATTATTTGATATATCTAAGGTCCACAGCATTGGGTTGCAAAGATATAAGGATAAAAAATCAGAGTTTGTAGCAAAGACTCAATTCCTATATCAATTATAGCCCCTGTAACATTAATCTCAATAGTTGGTGATGTTTTATCAATATCAACTCACAAGTTATGATCATGAAATTAGATTCCACTTCACTTCTTTTTAAAGGGAGTGACCGGCTATTATTTTTTATTAGTTATTAAATAACGACAACAAAAAATATAGTAAAAATTATACAGTAATCTAATTAGATGGTTATGAGCATATTTCTCAAAAGAAATTTGTCAATAAATCAATGCAAAAATCGATTATTTCGTTTTTATTATTATATTGAGTTTCTTATTTTCTTTGAATTTATTCGCAGATTTCATCAAATTTTTCAAATGTCGTCTTTTCAATAATAATTAAAAAAAATCTGCGAAAATATTTGTGAATAATGAGGAACCAGAATAATGAGAAAATAGAAACTAATAATTGAACAAGATTACTTATTTTCGATGATAAGATTAATTTTTATTTTCTCAACATGTTCCAATATATGGCGTCTACTCTGTAGTTTATTGTAGAATGTTTTCACATTTTATATCGTAGTTATTTAATAATTTAAAAAAATAATAATTCTAAAAACGTATCCACCCCCAAAGTAGGAGTTTTGAACGTCGAATTTGTGCTCAAACTCAGGATTTACAGATCTTTAAAAAGTTTAATTTGTCTCAAATGAACCCGAAAGAAGTTTTCCACAACTCTGCATACTCAGTTCAACAACCTTACATAGCCGGTCACTCCCTTTAAATCTGTACTTTATATTTATCTTGTTAAATATACGCGGAATCATGTGACTTGAAAATTCTTAAACATGTTTTTGCCAAATATTGAATAGAAATAAAGAAAAGACGGAAATTCTTAAATTTAGTTTGTAAAGCACATAATTCGTATACTACATACATTATTAAGTTATGGACGACAAAAATATTTATTCGTTTTTTAGAGCATTTTTATAAATGGTTAACAATAGAGCGTAAGTTTAAGTTTAAGTTATCCTTGAAACCTTAATCTTATCGACAATGTGAAAGATATTGTAGTTTTTTAAGTTTTCAAAGTATTAATATCTAATAATTCATATACGTTTTTTTGTAAGTCACTTTTGAATTTTCCTTGGTCAAAACAGGACTTCCTCAAAGTATCTTTGATTTTAAGAATTCAGTTATTTCTTAATTATTTCTCTCAAAGTAAGTATAAGTATAAGATGTACTGCATTAAGTACGTGGATTAACATTCTGTAAAAAGGAAGGTACGGTTTGGTCTGAAGAACAGTTGTAAACCACAAATTCTTGTTATATTTTCCTAGGCTTTAAAGGTTTAAGTATCAAAGTAAGATAATATACATGTTTTATTTTCGTAAAAATTTAAGTTGAATATTAAAGACGACATTTAAATTTGTAGAGTTAAAATATCCTTGAGAACCCAACAAAATGAGAGAGTTTTGTGATACTCCGCTTTGGGATTCAAACCTCACATGGTACACGGAAAATCCTAAGGGAAACAATGAAAACAATTTAGAAAATGCAAAAAAAATAATATTTCCTTTTAGAATTTTAAAGTTTCAAATTATGTTAATAAAACACTATCCATTCTTCTTGCTGTTTATTGTTTTGCTGTTCAGTTTACCAGCTGTTTCGAGGAAACAGTTCTAGTTTATATTCCTGTTTTTATCCTTCTCCTGTTCATTCCTGCTGAAATTCAGGGATTCAGAAACAGTTCAGCTCGTAACATTCCCTGGGGACCTAGGTACATAATTTCATATTTATTATTATTATTATTAATGTTATTATTATTATTACTCATATTACTATTATCATTATTATTATAATTATTATTATTATTATTATTTTTATCAACATCTAATATCATCAATATTATTATTACCATTATTACTTTTATGATATTAATCATTAAATTAATGAGTAATATTATTATTATGTTTAGAATAGTATCAAGATTGATATTGACTGGTCTCCTTTTGCTCCTTGTATTCTCTGAGTTCCTACTATCCGTTATAAACGGAGATAAAATTACAGATTTAGCGGGGAAAGGTCAGTTTCTTTTTTTTACGCATAGAATTTGGCCAACTAAGAGGGAATCATCCCTATCCTCTGAGGGAAAATATTTAGACGCAATTTCACGTGACCCTCCATTTATAGACTGGTATGCTCGATTTACAACAGTACTTTTAAAAGATATTACTATTTCTCTAGCTTAAAGTTGATTATTTTTAACTATTGTTTCTCAATATATGTAACTTGTGATTTTATGCTTGTTAGACAACGAATGATATTAACAGAATAACAAATATTTTTATCTTAAAAAATTACAATACCTATCCCATTGTCCCTAAGATAGAGGTTTAAAAGGCACTGAACATGGATACTCTTTTTTAATTCAAACAATATATTAATGCACTTGTCTTCTAGTTATTACCGCTTTTTGATGTTACTGTAATATTTTACTCTTTATAGTCTTTTTACAAATTTTAAATTGTCGTTACAGTTAGTCCTGTAGGACTGAAACTAGTTTTACTCTTGTATATCTATTATTGCAATGAGTCCTGTAATCAGCTTGCTAGGACTGATAACTAGCTTTATTCTTATATATTTATTATTGCAGTGAGTCCTGTAATCAGCTTGCTAGGACTGATAACTAGCTTTATTCTTATATATTTATTATTTCAGTGAGTCCTGTAATCAGCTTGCTAGGACTGATAACTAGTTTTATTCTTATTTTCCTTAGCAGAAAGTTTGGTAAAATAACGTCTATATTGCAGGTATTAAAATAATTAGACATTTAATTTTTGGAATAAATATCACAATAATACAAAGTTGAATAAATCTTCATTTTTATTAAAGAATTAATCATTTATTTTACTTTTATGAAATGAATCATTTCTTGAATAAAAGTATTTTGGAATAATTATAAAATTGGATTGTTTTTTTTACTCATGGTGCAGAGCAGCACTTTCTCAACGTCAAAAATCTACAAATTTTACTCGAATAACTTTTACGGTTATCAGACTGTTGTTACTTTTACGGTTATCAGACTGTTGTTACTTTTACGGTTATCAGACTTTTAATTAAAACTCAATTTTTCTCTTTTACAGAAATAAACTGAGGAAGAGAGAATATATTGTTATTTTATTTTATTAGATTTTTTAAAGATCGTTTTTTAATTATCTTATTTATTTTTTATTTTTTTTTTGTAGTTTTTCTACTGGCTCTTCTACTGTATATGCCAAGCACTAAGGTGAGTATCAAGGGAAAATAAATATTTTACATCCTTTCTGAATAAAAAGTCATTTCAAAATACAGTAGCAGTCCCTTTAATAAAGAATATTATTAATTATTTTAGAATTACAAGTTCTGCTCTGGACGGATCCCGTGCTCCAGGTCTCCTACCCCTCCTAGAGCTAACTACAGGGATACTCATCTTCATCCTCAACCTTGTTGCAGATCCAGCTCCAGCTTATACACAGCTTGGAAGTAAGTTCATGTTCAATACCAGACAAATATTATAAAATAGATATGTAGGCAGGTGGAAACCTTCTCCTAAATTGCTTCTGGCAGACAACTCATATTTATTGCTACATTTTTTGAGTTTTAGAGGCCGGACATTACGCAAAAAATATGAATTCTCTCAATCCACGAGCTCTACAGTAACAATAGTTGCGGCAGCTCACGGTTTCATTGTGAATTTTGGAAGATTTTGAAAGATTTTGAAAAAGAAAGAAAACGGCAAGAAAGTCTGCACTCGCCAAAATTAAAACGGTAAGGTGGGATTGAGCAGAACCAATCTTCCAGAATCCATCATGAACACGTAATAATACTCACATAAATACTGTTCAAATTCAGCGTAGCTCCTCTTCGCTTGGCAAATTGAAAAAAAACTGAATGGAATCAGCTGTTCCTGGCCAGGGAGTTGAGAATGTGAGCAGGAAGTGCGACAAGGAAGAGCAGCAGACATTAGACAAGCTTGTATAGTAGAGAGAATTGATATATTTTTCCCTCTACAAATGACTGGAAGAAAATACGTTTATAGCCTATTGTTTACTTTCTAATTGCCTTGCTGTCATCTGTGGGTCTTTGCAACCCAATTTTTAGACCTTATGATATTTCAAACTACGAATTATGTTAGATCAAATAATCTAAGTTTGAAATATAAAAGCTTACATTATCAGGTTGCAAAGATAAAGTTGTGGTTTGTGACTATGACTCAATTCGTTTCCATGAAGAAATCAATCCTGCAATAAAAAATTGTTTTGTGAAGAGTCAAAATAATACTCTATGCCGTAAAAAACACAGATTTTATACAAAATTAACCAATATTGTCAGTAAAGAAGTTTGATTTAAGAATAAAATATCAAAGGGTTAAAAAAGACATCAGTAGCAAAGATGTAATAATTTAAAAAAAGACTTTAAGATTTGTTGTTTATTTTGAAACTAACATTTTTTCTCTTTAGGTGAAACTGAAAACCCAAGTCCCTCAAATTCTGCTTCTTTACCAGGAATTATGGAACTGCTTAAATCTAGGGAAATATTTTTAGATCGTTTAACAATGTAAAAAAAAGTTTAGTGGGTTGAACATTTTAGAGAAAGTGAGGTTTCTAGACAAAGCTATGATAAAACTAACATTAAGATAAAAGTTTATCCGCATAAAAAGAGATGTTTAATTTTCATGGTTCCCTAAAGGGATTGTAACCCATATAACTATACTGAAGTCAGAAGTACCAATGGCATTGTAAATATCTTATTATTTCAACACCAAGAAATGTCTCTGAGAAAAGAAAAGAAATTTAAGTATTTTCAAATTTATGAACAGTCCCTTTAACTCATTATTCGTACTTTCCAGCTGTGCCCGCTTTATCAATCCTTTTCTTAATAATCCCTAATTGTAGTTGGTTCGATCCCTTCGTTGTCTCCGGGTGGAGTAAACCCCTGGTTCAAGAGGATCTATGGAGCCTGGATCCCGAGTATACCTACTCAGGGATTATGCACAAGGAATGCCAAGTGTTTATGTTTATTGTTTATATTTACATTGATCAATCCCAGATTAACAAGAGAAATAGTTTTCCTTCATTTTTCTTATTTATTTAGTTTGGTGACACTTTACTCAGAGAAAATATCAGTGATTCAGATCGGTTTGTCTTTTCTTTCTGCAGTAGACGTAATTTCAAGTGACCCTCTATTTATAGAGTGGTATGTCCGATTCACTAGGTACCTTTTAAACCTTTCCTGATCAATGATGATTGAGATACTCTTATTTTTCTATTTGCAAGCTGATCATTTATATTTGTGGTTTGGGGACAAATGCTGCAGATACAATGGAGGAAATTGTGAGAATTTTTCACCAATTTAGATTGACTAGCAACGATGTCGATGTCTTCCTCTTTATTGTCAGATTAGGTTTTAAAGGGTATTGTTGTAAAATTGAACATTTCACTCTTTGACTGGAGGTTCATTTGATAATAATACATTTCACTGCTTTAAATGAAGGTTCATTTGATAATCGTACATTTCACTCTTTAACTGGAGGTTTATTTGATAATCATACATTTCACTGTTTTAAATGGAAGTTCATTTGATAATCATACATTTCACTCTTTAACTGGAGGTTCATTGATAATCGTACATTTCACTCTTTAAATGGAGGTTCATTTGATAATCATACATTTCACTCTTTAACTGGAGGATTATTTGTTAATCATACATTCACCCTTTAAATGGAGGTTCATTAGATGATTATATATTTCACTCTTTAAATGGAGGATTATTTGATAATCATACATTTCACTCTTTAAATGGAGGTTCATTTGATAATCATACATTTCACCCTTTAAATGGAGGTTCATTAGATGATCATATATTTCACTCTTTAAATGGAGGTTCATTTGATAATCATACATTTAACTGCTTTAAATGGAGATTCATTTGATAATTATACATTTCACTGCTTTAAATGGAGGTTCATTTGATAATTATACATTTCACTGCTTTAAATGGAGGTTCATTTGATAATCATACATTTCACTCTTTAAATGGAGGTTCATTTGATAATTTTACATTTCACTTTTAAATATTGCGTGAATTCAATCAAAAACCTTTTGGTCGAATTCGATCAAAATAATGCTCAATCTACATTCATAACAAGAAAAATGTAGAATAGGAATACGAAATCATTGCATTTCTGAAGTGCATTTGATGTTGTTTAAAGCAAATTATAGCTTTACTTGAAAGTTATTAAATTACTTATTAAGTAAAATTGGTCTGTTTACGTTGCACTCATGTTTAGTGCGCTATTAAAAGTCATAACTTGAGTTTAAAAGTCGACTTCTTATTTCAGAGTTTTCTGGTTATCACTGTATATTGTTAAGATTTCCTTAAATATTTTGTACAAAAAATAACCTTAAAATGTTTGCATGGTTTGTAGTGGGAGGATGCTACATCACATCAAACAGAGAAAGAAATTTCTGTTCTTCGTCCACTTTTTAAATGTTTTGGAGTTCCTCTACTCATCGGAGCCTTGTATCAGCTGGTTTATATAGGTCTAGAGTTGGGCATCGTTTTCTTCAACGAACAAAGCATTTCAAAACGAACAAAATGCTTTGTGAACGTACGATTTTTTTCAAACAAACTTTTGAAAACCATCGATTTTTACTGAACGAGCGATTTTATCCGAAGGAGCTTGAAAAGACAATAGTTTTTTTAATGAACGAAAAAAATTTTATACCAACCTTTTTAAAAACCTATAGTCTTTTATTGAACGGACGATTTTGTTGAACGGAAGATCTCACTGAACGAAACATTTAAATGAACGATAGTTCAGTTAGAACGATCCTACGAAAATGAGCTATGTATTTGAAAATAAAGAATGAATGCGCCCATCTCTATAATATATAGGTCTCGTCTTCGTTAATCCACAGATTCTAAACCTCGTCATTCAGGGACCGAATTTAATGAATTGGGAGAAGTCGTTGAACTACATAGTGACGTTTCATCTTGAATCGGTAATTAAGGATTTGTTCATGTCAGTAAGAAGTTGAATTGGCGGTTGGTAGATCAGCGACTTCTCTTTTATTTATTAAATCTCGTGATACAGTTTGTAGAAGAGGGACAGGAGATGTGGAAAGGATATCTTTATGTTGTTGTTCTAGGAATCACTTCATTTCTCTCAGGTGGGTTATACCATAAGTTTAAGGGGATTATGGACAAGGTTTCGGATGATCCTTAAAGGGACTGTAAAGGAAAAATGAAAGGGGGTACAGGCTGAAACCTAAGCATGTTAGGAGTTGATCGAGACCCATGTGAGTTCTATCTGATGTTCTTGTCTCGAGAAATTGATAGAAAACTGTGTCGAAGGAATTGAGTTTTTGCCACAAACTCTGTTTTTATAATCCCTATATCTTCACAACCCAATGTAGCAGACCTTATTTCAAACTATGAATTATGTTGGATCACAACACCTGACTTTGTAATATCGAAGGTTTTAACCATCCGCTTGCGAAGATATAGGAATTGGAAAATTTAACTTTGTCACAAAGAATCAATTTCTTTTTACGAAAATATTTATATAAAAAAAATGTTGTATAAAAATAGTAGGTTTAAACGGATCATATTCAGCAAACAAACAACCAATCTAAAATAAACAATATCCCAGAGGAGCCTAAAAAACTTAGGTTTACTCCTATAATTATTTCAATTAAAATTTTTTTTTGATAGATATAATTGATAATATAATTTATACGTCTGTATCGAGTGACTATAACCCCCACCAATGGCAGTGCAGTATCATTATCACGTAACTTCGTCTGTATAACGGGACCAACATGTCTTTTACATTATATTATATACAGTATATCTTTTACATTACATTATCAACCTTTATCCTGGTTGAAACAAAACTTTATCATAAATGGGACAGAATTTTATGATTTGGGGAGACCGCTGAACCCCCTACAGCCGGTTCAAATCCTCATGAATCTTTAACTTTAAATTGGTGATTCAAGATTTGAACCGGTGGTAGGTAGTTTAGCGACCTAGCTCAAATTCATTGAATTCGATCCTTGGTGAGTTTTTTACAAGTAATATGAAGTATATCTGACTTTTCAAGATTCTTGTGACTCCAGGTAAGAATTTTACTCCTCAATCTCAANCCAACTTTTATTAGACAAACCAGGATAGTTTGAAAGTATTTTAATGTTGTTTAGGTATATTTGACAGCAGTTACTGGAACTCTATGAGACTGCAGAGTATGCGGGTACAGACTGCTCTATCCGCAGCGGTTTATAAGAAAGCTCTAGTTCTCTCTGCTACCGGGAGAAAGGATTATACTTCAGGGACCGAATTTAATAAATTTTAACTATAGGTAGCTGAACTACAAACCTCCGGTTCAAATCTTGAATCACAGATTCATTAGGATTTGAACCGGTTCAAATCTTGAATCAAAGATTCATTAGGATTTGAACCGGTTTAAATCTTGAATCACAGATTTATTAGGATTTGAACCGGTTCAATTCTTGAATCCCAGATTCATTAGGATTTGAACCGGTTCAAATCTTGTATCACAGATTCATTAGGATTTGAACCGGAGGTATGCAGTTCAGCGACCTCTCTAATTTATTAAATTCGGTTCCAGGAGAGATTGTTAATCTGATAGCGGTAGATTGTAGCAAGGTAAGGTTTTATGTATGTTTAATCTGATTCAGGTACCCTTTAAACATTTATCAGAGCAAACAATTTTAAACCTAGAAAAACGACAATATTTTCCACATTATTGATCAATTAAAGGTATTTAAGGGTCTAATTGTGAATCAGGCATTTTTATATTTGCACAGAGGATCATTCGAAATTACGCTTACAGTCCCTTTAAATGAATTTATTTACACAAATGTCTAAAGAAATGTTTAGAAATATGTAAAGAACATGTCGAAATGAAATGTATTAATAATCATCATACGTAAATTTAAACTTCAATATTTTAAACCTTTCATCACAAATCCTTTCAATAATATTCGAATTTCCAGAATTCGTATTAAACTTGTGAAAATTTGATCAAAAATCTCATTATTCATTGAGTGTGTTTTTATTTGTTAATATTTACCGAGTACAGGGTTTAATAATCATGCAAGAGAGTTGTTTATAAACCAGCGTTTATTCAAACATTCAATCAGTCAACATGAAGCTATTTACTTTACTCCTTATTCAAGTCTGTTTTCTGTATATTGGTGAAAGCACAGGATATGATACTATATTTGGTAACAACCATTTCACCAACACTTCAGCCAAAGTCCAACACGGTCGGTTCAAAAGATCCTTTGCCAGTTTCTCCGATGTAACACTGGACATTGATACCTCGTTTTCTTTGACGATTCCTCTTCCTGACTTTGGAACCAGTCTTTCAGTCTTTCTCCCTTTCTTCTTTAGCTTCCCAACAGAAAAAGCATCAAGTAGGTCCTTGCAAGTTAGAAACAAGAATTATGGAAACAATGAGTGGAAAAACAACAACTTTGGATACAATGAGAGGCAAAGTAGAAGCTACTCAGCTTTTCCAACAATGGCGTCGAAAAGAAATAGCGTTTTCAGCACCATTGAAACTTATATAAATGGATTAGGAGGAGTAAACGGGGCATCTTGCATTGAACGGGCCATCTGCGAAGTTGCGGCAACCCCTGAACATGAAGATGGTATTTTTGGTGATGTTATGAACTACATTCTCAGAGTGGACAAAGAAGCATTTGATGAACATCCTAATTATGCACTTGCTCAACAGATAGGAGAGGATACTGGAGAGTGTTTGGAGTTTTACAATCTTTGTCCAGTTTCCATCTTCAATATCAGAGATACATTCCAATCTGGATAGTTACTATGATTCTACAGTTTCCATCTTCAATATCAGAGATACATTCCAATCTGGATAGTTACTAGATTCTACGTATTGAAAGACCTAGACAAATTATACACTTTTGATTTTCTGTGACACAGGACACAAGCGCTGAATTTATTACAAAGGACAATTGTTAACTTAAATATACTTTGAGGGAATGTAAGCGTAAGTGAGTGACTGACCTTCCATGCAAAGAGACAATGTCCGATTCACAACGGTTCCCTTGAAACCTTTATCTGATCAATAATATGAAAGATATTTAGTTTTTTTAGGTTTAAAAGTGTAAAATTCTTATAACTCCTATATTTTTTTCCTGGAGCAGAACGACTCAAGTCACTTTTGTATAAAACCCACAATTGAAAATAATCAGTTTTCAAAATTATAAACATAATATAGAATTCATAATTGATTCGAAGATGCTTTTAAAGATACTATTGTGAATCGGACATTGCCATCTTTGCATTTGCATGGAGGGTCTCTAAAAATTATGCTTACAGTCCCTTTTATTAAGATTTGTTTGTTATTTGATCATGTCAAGAGCACGTTTTATAAATATTTATTGATTATCATTTATATTATTATGTAAACATTTTATATTGTCCTTTTTGTTTAGATTTTTAGAAATAAAGAATATATGAAATTCTGTTTGATTGGAATAATCATTTATAAGCTTAAAGGGAGAGACCGGTTAGACATTGCAGCTGAGCTGAAAGTGCAGTTTTGTACAGAAAAACTATATGATCAATTTGATACCATTAAGCCATTTTTACAGTGTACAATTAAAATAAACAAAACCTCCAAGAAGTCACCCTAGCTGAAAGAATTTGCATAAAAACTGAGAGATTTTAAAATGGATTTTGTTAACTTATTTTCGACGATATAATTTCATTATCATTATAGTTCGCAATCTGTTTGTATATATGCAACTGAAACAACTGGTGGATATTACAAACGACTTGTACGCTCTTATTTAAAAATTGTACACCGTAAAAATGTCTCATTGTTATCAAATGAATTCTGAAGTTTTTCTCTAAAACATTACACTTTCAACTCAACTACCATGCCTCTCTCTTTAAACTTTACTAAACTCTAGGTAAAAAATAGTCAAGACTACCAATTAAAAATAAATTTAAAACGTTTGTTATCTATTGACAATAAATTAAAGACAAACAATGATGATAAACTTTTTTAAATATTTAGGTTCAAGAATCAGTAATGTTTATAACCTTTATGTTCACAACTCCCCTGCAGATTGTTCTAGCCGTATATTTTCTATGGAGCTATCTTAATTACTCAATCCTTATAGGTATATAGGTATATAGGTATATAGGTGTATAGGTATATAGGTATATAGGTATATAGGTATATAGGTATATAGGTATATAGGTATATAGGTATATAGGTATATAGGTATATAGGTATATAGGTATATAAGTATATAGGTATATAGACTTTGCCACAAACTCTGATTTTCTAATCCCTATATTTTTGCAACCTAATGTCGTAGACCTTATATATTTCAAACTATGCATCATGTGAGATCAAATAATCCAAATTTTAAATATCTGAGGTTTACATAATTAGGTTGCTAAGATAAAGAGAGTGCTTTACAATACAATGCTTTACAATACAATGTAAGGGGGTTCAACTTGAATTAATGATTTTAAGAGTTGGTTAAGATTAGGTGGGTGGGGTTGGAAATTAGTTTAACCTGTTGCATTATAATAATAGTAACATCAGTCCAGTGGCCGAATTTAAAGAATTTAAGCTGCGGTTTAAATTTAAGCCGCGGTTTAAATATGGTTGGTTCCACTTAAAATTGTATCAAATGTTTCAAGATTTAAGTCGGCGCTTAATTTAAACCGGGTTTTGGCGGATTTAAACCGCGGCTCAAATTCTTTTAATTCAATTTCAGGATTTATAATTATTACAACCGTTCTCACTTTTTAGTTGCTAAACTAACCTTTACTGCCATTTTGAAATTGAAATAATAATAATCCAAGAAAGTTAGTTGTTGACACAAACTCAAATTTTCAAATACCTTTATCTTTGCCATCAATAGCGCTGCCTACACCTTTGATATATAAAAGTGTTAATTCTATTAAATCAAAGAACTTAAGATTTACACCAGTAGGTAGTGAATATATAGGGTTTATTTGAGTTAGACGCAATAAATCAGTTTCTTTGAAAATATTCCCACTCTGAGGACTTTTTAATTCTCTTACAACATTGGGGTCTGCAATAAGTTCAAAATAAAAGACATAACAATTATTTATTTAAATTGAACTCTTTGTTGTCTTTCTTTAAAGCATCTTTCTTTTTTAGGAATAGCTGCTGTGGTTTTGCTTATGCCTTTGAATACATTCGCTTGGAGCGTAATGGAGAAGTATCAGAAAATACAAATGAACCAAAAAGATATTAGAGTGAATTTAGTAAATGAAATTCTAAATGCTATTAAAGTGTTAAAGCTTTATGCTTGGGAGAAATCATTCATTGATCAGATTTCAGAAATACGACTCAAGGAGGTTTCTGCACTGAGGACTTTTCAATATATAGAAGGAACTCAATATCTTATGTGGAATACGGCTCCCGTTCTCCTGGCATTGGTGTCATTTGCTGCATTTGTCCTGGTTGATCCGGTAAACAATATACTTGATGCTCAAACAGCATTTGTTTCCTTGACCCTGTTCAATACATTACGTGAACCATTATTCATGCTTCCTTTTGGTATTGTAAACCTTATTCAAGGAATGGTGTCAATCAAGCGAATTAATAAGTATCTAAATGCAGAAGAGATTGATCCTGAAACGGTAACCCATGAAGAACAGAAAGATCCAATAGTTTTAAAGGACGCTTCCTTGACTTGGGACTTGACAGCTGAAAAGAACACCTTGACAAACCTTACTTTCAATATTAAAGAAGGAAGCCTTGTTGCTGTGGTTGGTTCAGTGGGTACAGGAAAATCATCACTTCTCTCTGGTTTGCTTGGAGAAATGTACAAAGTCCATGGAACAATTAATACATTTGGAACTATTGCATATGTGTCCCAACAAGCTTGGATTAGAAACGCTACAGTTCAGAATAATATTCTTTTCAACAAACCATATTCAAAAAAACTCTATGAAAAAGTGATAGAAAACTGTGCATTGGAAACTGATCTTGCAATGCTAACCAACGGTGATTCAACTGAAATAGGGGAGAAAGGTATAAATCTGAGCGGAGGTCAGAAACAAAGAATTAACCTGGCAAGGGCTGTTTATTCAAACAGGGATATTTATTTGTTTGACGATCCTTTGTCAGCAGTTGATGCTCATGTTGGAAAACATCTATTTGAAAAGGTTATTGGGCCTCAAGGTATGCTTCAGAAAAAAACTAGAGTTTTAGTGACCCATGGAATAGGATTTCTTCCTCAGGTTGATGTCATCTTAGTAATGAAAGATGGAAAAATATCAGAAATGGGCTCCTATGAAAGCCTTATAGATAAGAAAGGAGACTTTTCAGACTTTATGCGTGACCAGATGCAAAAGCAAGAAGATATAAATGATGAATCTGACACAGAGCATTCAAAGATCATTGCGAAGAAAAAAACAGCCAATGAGTATCAAAGAACAATGTCATCAATTTCTTCAGAGACTGAGTACACTGGTATTTTATCTAAAAGAAAAAATGAAGAAGGAGCTGATAATCTCATTGAGGATGAATATGTAGAAACTGAAAGTGTAGATATTGGTATTTATTCCTACTATTTCAAATCAGCAGGGTTAAAATATGGACTTTTAAGTGTACTAGCTTATTTATTTTTCCATGGTAGTTTGATTGGAGCAAACTTCTGGTTAGCTATATGGGCTGATGACGAAAGCAGTACATATGATGCATCTGTGAGAAATAAATATCTAATAGTATATGCAGTTCTGGGAGCTTCACAATCCATATTTGTATTTCTGGCAGTTATATCACTTACAATTGCTTCTATAAATGCATCAATTAAACTCCATGATGAAATGCTGAAGAATGTTCTGAGATCACCGATGGCATTCTTTGACACTACGCCTCTGGGCAGAATTGTAAACAGGTTTTCAAAAGACATTGATGAAGTGGATATCATGTTACCTATGCATGTCAAAGATGTTATATATCAATTTCTTGCTGTGATGGGAGTTATTCTAGTAATATCCATTATTCAACCTATAATTATTACAGCCATTGTGCCTTTAGTTCTTGTATTTCTTCTTGTGCAAAGCTTCTATCTTAAGACTTCCAGACAGTTGAAAAGGCTAATGTCTATTAATCGCTCACCTATAAATAGCCACTTAGACGAGACTCTTAGTGGAGCGGCAACAATCAGAGCTTTTGGTTTCCAGGACAACTTCGAGAAAGAAAATGAAGATTACATTGATCAAAAACAAATGAGTCAATATCCTGAGATTATATCTAACACATGGTTGTTTCTTCGTCTACAAGTTATTGGCAATCTTCTAATTATCCTTGCTGCTCTAACCACAGTAATTAATCGTGATACAGTGGATTCTGGATTAGCAGGCCTGGTCTTAACATATGCATTGACATGTCAAATTGATATTTACATGCTTGTCAGATTCACAGCTGATCTTGAGAAATCTATTGTCAGTGTTGAGAGAATAAAAGAGTATCAAGAGACTCCTCAAGAAGCTGCAACTGAATCTAATTTTGATCCTGATTTTACCTGGCCTAGTCAAGGAATAATTAAGTTTGAATCCTTCTCTGCCAGATACAGACCAGGTCTGGATTTGGTCATTTCTGATATCAATTGCGAAATTAAAAGCAAGGAGAAAATAGGCATTGTTGGCAGAACTGGTGCAGGAAAATCTTCTGTTACACTCTCTCTCTTCAGGATTATTGAGGCAGCAAATGGTGGAATTACAATTGATGGTATTGATATCAGCCAACTAGGATTAACCAAACTGAGATCAGGATTAACAATTATTCCACAGGATCCAGTTCTTTTCTCTGGAACCTTGAGGTTCAATCTGGACCCTTTCAACAAGCATTCTGATAGGTGAGTTAGCTAATGGAGCAATTAATATCAAATCTAAAAAATGAATTAGCAAAAAGGTGCTTTTGGGTTTTATGCACTTAAAATGTAACTATGTTTCAGAGAACTTTGGAGAGCACTGGAACTTTCAAAACTATCTCCAACTGTAAAGACTTTGGAAGGTAAGTCACTTGGTTTCCTGTTCATGTGCCTTTTTAGATCTTTCATATGGCTAATTCTGATAAACTTCTAGGAGGGCTAGATCATAAGATTGCAGAGGGGGGAATCAATCTTTCTGTTGGACAACGGCAACTCCTTTGTCTTGTAAGGTAAGAATATTAAATTTGTTTTAATTGACATGACATAATCTTGATGGAAAAGCTTATGTTATATATCCTTTTGTGGACTAGAAATTATAATTGTCCTGCTGAAATATGTAAACATTTTCTAGAGCCCTTCTCCGAAAGACAAAGATCTTAGTGTTGGATGAAGCTACCGCAGCAATTGATCTGGAGACCGATGACCTAATTCAGAAGACCATTCGGGAGGAATTCAATGACTGCACAGGTAAATAAAAAACAGAATCTCTCATTCGAGGGTTTTTATGATTTATATTTCTTAGTGCTCACGATTGCTCACAGAATTCAAACTATCATGGACAGTGACAGGGTGATGGTGATGGATAAGGGCCAAATCAAAGAGTTTAAATCTCCAAGCCAACTGTTAAAGGACAAAAGCTCTATTTTCTTTTCTCTTGCACAAGAAGCCGGTTTAGTAAATTGATCATTTTATAGCAACATTATTAACAGCTGATGATTATTGCCAAACAGAAAAAAATACTAATTGTAGTTAAATATGTTTTTTATATAAAACATGATATCATTTATTGTTAATCTTGGATCTTTTTTAACTAAAAAGTAAAAATGGAATTTACAATATCTCTGTATCTTTCCTTTACTGCATCACTAAAATATCTCCTTTATCCCCTGGTATATCCTCCTGTATCCTTGTAATATATCTCCCTATCTGACCCTGTATTCCGTGGTATATCCCCCTGCATCCCATGGTATATCTTCCTGTATCCTTGTAATATATCTCCCTATCTAACCCTGTATCCCCTGGTATATCCCCCTGTATCCTTGTAATATATGTCCCTATCTAACCTTTTATTCCGTGGGATATCCCCCTGTATCCCATGGTATATCCTCCTGTATCCTTGTAATATATCTCCCTAACTAACCCTATATTCCGTGGGATATCTCCCTGTATCCCATGTTATATCCCCCTGTATCCTTGTAATATATCTCCCTATCTAACCCTGTATTCCGTGGTATATCCTCCTGTATCCTTGTAATTTATCTCTCTATCTAACCCTGTATTCCGTGGTATATCACCCTTGTATCCCATAGTATATCCCCCACCAAGACAATTTCCCAGTTTCTTAACTTCTATGATTAGACAGAGTTCTCTCCATTGTTCTACTAATCCGACCTAATTAGAGAGAAATTACATTGCTCATGTTACAACATGTGACTAGGTAATTTTTCTAGATATTATATTGTTCATGTAACAACATGTAATTTTATTAGATCTCTACCATGTTTATTTACGAGATATTACATTGTTTATGTTACAATATGCAACTTTTATAGATCTCTAAAATGTACTAGATATCAATTGTTCATGTTACAATATATAACTTTACAAGATCTCTACCATGAATATTTACTAAATATTACATTGTTTATGTTACAATATTTTACTAGATCTCTACCAATTATTAAGTCTTTTCACCCGTAAACTCCAGTTCGTTTCTTGTACCTACCTGATTTGTAAGCAGCTAGAGCAAGCTGTACAGTAGAGACTCTCTAAGGGAAAACGGGACGGTACATCAAATAAACCAAACAATATTTGAATTACGTTTATTTGCAGCGACACTTTTTACTCTGAATTTATCTCCTTCAGAAAAAATTAAGACACACATAAAAAAAAACATTCACAATCGTATTTATGATAAATATTTGATTTTCAAAAACTCGGTAAAATCAATTGCAAAATTTTGATCCAGCGTGAAAAATCGTAATCCCTTAATCATCCTGAACCTTTTTTATCAAGGGATTTACACTGTACAGTGTACAATGTACCGTGTTGCAGTGTACAGCATAAATTGTACAGTACACTATACAGTGCACAATGTACTGTGTTGCAGTGTACAGCGTATATTGTACAGTATACTATACAGTGTACAATGTACCGTGTTGCAGTGTACAGCGTGAATTGTACAGTATACTGTACTGTGTACAATGTACCATGTTGCAGTGTACAGCATAAAGTGTACAGTACACTATACAGTGTACAATGTACCGTGTTGCAGTGTACAGCGTATATTGTACAGTATACTATACAGTGTACAATGTACCGTGTTGCAGTGTACAGCGTGAATTGTACAGTACACTGTACACTACAGTGTTCAATGTACCGTGTTGCAGTGTACAGCATAAAGTGTACAGTACACTATACAGTGTACAATGTGCCATGTTGCAGTGTACAGCGTATATTGTACAGTACACTATACAGTGTACAATGTACCGTGTTGCAGTGTACAGCGTAAATTGTACAGTACACTGTACAGTGTACAATGTACCGTGTTGCAGTGTACAGCATAAAGTGTACAGTACACTATACAGTGTACAATGTACCTTGTTGCAGTGTACAACGTATATTGTACAGTACACTATACAGTGTACAATGTACCGTGTTGCAGTGTACAGCGTAAATTGTACAGTACACTGTACAGTGTAAAGTAATATTCCCCTTAATCCTTTGAAAGTAAATATATTGTTTACAATTGTCTACACAATAATGTCAAACAAGTTTTGGAAACTTTGTTTGCCGTCGTTTGGTCAGAAGNACCAGAATATAAGTATAACTTTTATGGAGAAATTCAATTTCCAGGCGAATCTGGGTTCCCTGGTATAGATCTAGATAAGTTCCATTTTGTTACAATGTACTATTAAGTATATATACATAGTAAAGTTACATGTTGTAACATGATCAATGTTAAATATAATGTAAGATTTGTTAAGTAGGTTCTTCAAAAGTGTCGTTGGATAATAATTCTAATTAACTTTAGTAGTCCCTTGATGCTAAACCATTTTATCAGTATACTAGTATACCAGTTTACTAGTATATTAGTAGACCAGTATACCAGTATACCAGTATACCAGTATACCAGTATACCAGTATACCAGTATACTAGTATACCAGTATACCAGTATATCAGTATACTAGTATACTAGTATACCAGTATACCAGTATACCTGAACGTACAGAATCCAATTCTGGACATGAACATATAGAATCGAATTCTGGACATGAACATATAGAATCCAATTTTGGACATGAACATATAGCATCCAATTCTGAACATGAACATATAGAATCAAATTCTGGACATGAACATATAGAATCCAATTTTGGACATGAACATATAGCATCCAATTCTGGACATGAACATACATAATCTGATTCCGGACATGTACATAAATATAGAATCCAATTCTGTCATGAACATATAGAATCCAATTCTGAATATGAACATATAGAATCCAATTTTAGACATGAACATTTAGAATCTAATTTTGGACATGTACATATAGAATCCAATTCTGAATATGAACATATAGAATCCAATTCTAGACATGAACATTTAGAATCTAATTCCGGATATGTACATATATATTCCAATTCTGGACATTTACATGTACAATCTAATTCCGGACATGTACATATGGAATCTAATTCCGGACATGTACATATAGAATCTAATTCTGGACATGAACATATAGAATCTAATTCTGGACATGTGCATACAGAATCTAATTCCAGACATGTACATATAGAATCTAATTTTGGACATGAACATATAGAATCTAATTTTGGACATGGGCATACAGAATCCAATTCTGGATATGAACATATAGAATCCAATTCTGGACATGTAAATATATAAAATCTAATTCTGAACATGTACATATAGAATCTAATTCTGGACATGTGCATACAGAATCTAATTCCGGACATGTACATATAGAATCTAATTTTGGACATGAACATATAGAATCTAATTTTGGACATGTGCATACAGAATCCAATTCTGGATATGAACATATAGAATCCAATTCTGGACATGTACATGTACCATGTACATTGCACATTGTTCATGTACCATGTATATAGATTATAGAATCTAGTTTATACATTTTAGAAAATGCATTTGTAATTAAATTTTGGCCATGTACACACAGATTTCAACTCTGAAAATGTAAAATGTACAATATACATACAAAATCCAATATGGACATGGACATGTACTATGTATTTACTATATAAAGTCAATTTTAACATGCATATTGCATAATGCATATACATAATCCCATTTTAAACGTGAACAATGTACATATAAAATCAAATTCCGGGCAAGTGCAATGTACATAAAGAATATAATTCTGAACATGAACATTGTACACATAGAATCCAATTCCGGACATGTACATTGTACATATACAAAGAATCCAATTGTTGGAACTAGACGTGAACACTGATTAATTGCTCTCAAGGGACCAGGAGGAGAGGACGAGGGGGGGAATAATAAAAGGGGATAGGTGGGGGAATAATAAAGGGGGAAAGGGGGAGGGATAACTAGAATAGAAGAGATGAATCCCTGTAAAGGGGAATTTCTTTACTTGTTGAATACAAATTGCTGACTCACCCGTAATATTCTAGTCTAGTGGTATATACACACGTTTCATCGTTTATATTACAAATAACCGTATTTTTCCTGAAAACTTTTAATTTGATTTGGAAAGAACAAAGGGGGAAATACTTTTAATTTATTTATGAAAGAAAAATTAAACTTGCAATATTTTTGGTTGTAAACCTTAAGACTGTATGCACCAAGGTTGTATATAGGTTAGATTCTCTAGATACGCTCCAATTTGGGTAAATGTCGTCTTTTTTCCAAGGGAGTCTCTAAATCCTCGAATGACGACAATGATACTTGACTAACAATCATCAAATTTAACAAATATTTATTGTGCTCACACGCTTCATCCAAAAAATGCAATCATAATTCAAGTTTTTAATTTTTGAGTTCGTTTATATCTAGTGAGCCGCAATATTTATTATTTTTAAAAATAAGCAGTGACGTCATATTCGAGGTTTTAGAGTGCTCATTGCTAGGTCGTCTTTACATACATTGGATCGCATTATTAAACAATATTTACCAAATTTAAAATTCATAATTAAAGTAATAAATACGATATGGTTCGTTTATTTAAGTTTGATATTAATATCATGTTCTTGTCCATGTTGAGGATGGAGTCTGATTGCTTGCTTCCAAGATTTGCAGTTTTTTCTTATTCCCTGATTTTCTTCCTAACTCTCGAGAATTCTTTACATTCATACTAATAAATATACTAAACGAACAAACAATATAAGAGACAGCTCGTGTTTACAATATACTATTTATTAGGGTATAATATACAGGATTTACCCCGGAAGTAAACTTGTTAAACAAGTGTCTAAAACATGAGATTTAAAAAAATAAAAATAAATTCTTCAGGGGG